CCTTGCCATGACGTCAGCATGAACTCGGTGTCCAGTCCAGCTTGTACTACTTAATCAGGGTCACCCATGGAGACACTGTGGCTCCCAGAGATGCAGGAGGTGGGGTGGCGTTCCTGACTGCCCCAATGTGTCTGATTTCTTATCCCCAGTACCAGTTGGCTATAGTGTTTTCCAACCTTCTTTTGCAAGGAGGGAGAGTGCCCTCCCTGTTACTGGTTTCCGTGGACTGCTCGCTGTGGTACCCTTGGTGCTTTGCTGTCTGCATCCTCCTGGGAGTGGAGCCTCTGGCCATCTCTGCCATGCATGTGGACCAGAACCGAGGACACCTGCAGCTTCAGTCCCACTTACTACTTTTGGGTGACGAGGGATCCAGGATGTGTGTAGGTTAAGTTAGAGAAAAACTTTGTAGAAACATACATTTCACTTCTAAAGTATGAGTGGCACCCTTTTGAAAGTAGGGATGAAAACGAGAGAGTAGCCATTATTTCCTCCAAACTGGAGGTCATAACCATGAAGGGATAGTGTTTGGGTCCCTGTCAAAAGAAGCAGTAAGCGAAAGGCAAGGAAAATATTTTCCCCCATTTTTAGAGTATGATTTGTTCATAGACAAAAAGAAAACTATGATCAGCTGATTCCTTCGGATGAGAGAGTAAGCTGTCAAGTGCTTCCCATCTGGTTGAGCTCCTGATCCAGATGGGCTGCCAATGGTAATTTATGAAAGGTTTGAAAGCAACTTGCTGTCCTCGGGAAAGAATCATGAGAACACATTAACATGGGGATGTGCTCCCCTCCTGCAGCCCCAATTTGCAACAGATGCAGAGATGGGACAACTGCTTCCGCTCTGCAACTAGAACCATCTATTTCTGAGCCAGGAGTTAGTATGTCTCTGCTCTTTAGGAAAAAAACAAAAAAAGGCAAGCGTTTTCCCCCCATTTCCCTCTCCTCCACTGGCTCAGTGAATGGGGTGGGGGGGTGCTCCCATGACAGGGGTTCCAACAAATGGCCAAAGCAGCCCTCAGAGACTGTCACAGCTGAGAATCTGGGATGCTTGGGAAAGTGAGCATGGACAGCAGGAATGGGGGGGCGCAGCCCTGCATCTAGTGCCCTCGGGGGGAGCAGGCCGCAGTGGCCAGGACCTGCCATGCAGGACCCTGAGGCCCGGAGCCCCCCGGAGCACTGTCCCCTCGTGGGGCAGCGCCCAAGCGGGCAGCGGGGTCAAGGGCAGGGCGCCCGAGCTCGGGCCGCCCCTGGGCCTGGGCCTACCACTTGGTCAGGCCCCCCGGAAGGAGCCCCCTTCCTGAATGGCTGCTGGAAAGTGGGCAGGCCGTCTCCAGGGCGCCGAGGAGCTGCTGGCAGACAGGAGCTCCTGTCTCTGCTTTGATCAAACCATCTGCTTCCTAGGCTCTGAGGAAACTGCCAATGTGCATGCCGTGCGTGCTTCAAAGTGTTCTGGAATGTTCAAAAGAAAAGTCTGGAATCACTGTTTAATGTTCCTAACTGACACTGATGAAATCAGGGCTGGACGGAACCTGCGCCCCAGGTTTTCAGTCAGAAAGAGCTGAGGGAGGGAGGGAGAGGCCTGGGCTCAGAGCTGTGACAGGCATGTGCCCTGGGCTCTGGGGCAGGGAAGACATGAGCCCCCATCCAACAGACCCCCAGCAGAGCTGGCGGGGGGCCAGGGACTCCGGGGCCCCTCAGTGCTGAGGACAGGCCTTGGCCCCAGGTGAGAGCTGGGCGCCGGCCAGGCCTCATCTAGGGGCCGCCAAGCGTCCAAGAGGAGGTCTCTTGTTCCTGGGGCAGCTTGAAACTCCTGTTATTGGGTGCAGGTAACAGGCCCAAAGTCCTTAGAGCCTAACACTTACTGGAGACTTCACCAGGGACATTGTTTTTAGAAGATTTTATTTATTTACTCATGAGAGACACAGAGAGAGAGAGACAGAGACCCAGGCAGAGGGAGAAGCAGGCTCCATGCAGGGAGCCCGACCCAGGACTCCCCGGGGTCATGACCTGAGTCGAAGGCAGACACTCAAACCCTGAGCCCCCCCCCCCCCCGGGCGCCCCAACAAGGGACATTTTTATACAGTATCTGTGCACATGCTGTTCTTTTTAAATCTATGTCTTTTTTCCCCTTACATTTAGACTAAACTATATATTTTATATAACCTAAGAATAGGCATTGACCCACAAACAAGGCCATGTGCTCAGGGCTACAGAGGACATATGGGTGAAAAGAATGTTGTCCTTTCCCTAAAGAACCTGCAACGTGGGGCACCCAGGTGGCTCAATGGGTTAAGGGCCCACCCTTGATGTTGGCTCAGGTCATGGTCTCGGGGCTGTGAGACTGAGCCCTGCATCAGGTTCCAGTATATTCTCTTTCTCCTTCTCCCTCTGCCACTCCAAACCCCCCTCCAAATAAAAAGAAAAAAGAAAAAAGAATTTACAGTGCAATAGATATATACCGTAAGGCACAAATCACCACAAAATGAGACCCAATCTCCCGGGTCATTGAAAAATCAAAAATGAATTGTCCTTCCAAAGACACAGATCGCATTTGCTTGGTTGTGAGTCATCAAAATTAAGGTTGTGGGACGCCCTGCTTCTCCCTTGGCCTGTGTCTCTGCCTCTCTCTGTGTGTCTCTCATGAATAAATAAATAAAATCTTTTTAAAAATTAATTAATTAATTAAGATTGCAAGTTGCTAACGAGCTATATTTTCACAGAAGGAATGCTTGCTGTGGTTTCCTTGGCCCATTCTAGTCTCTGTGCTGGAGAATCCTCTAAAACGCGAACTGGGACAAGTGTTCCTCTAGTGGCCCCTCCGCAAACTACAGGCCGGTATGTTGGCTCTTGGAGAAGCCGGCCAGTTTCAAAAGAACACTCCAGCCAGGCTAATCCTGTTTCCACTAATAGTCCACTGGAGGGAAGATGAAATTTTAGAGGACGAATGCCGTCCCATGCCACCATATGTCAAGAGCGTGGACCCTGAGATCAGATGGACCGGTTCAAATCCCGGCCCCGCCACTTAGTGACAATGACCCGAGCAAGTTACTGAGCCTTTCCCTCAGTTTGCTCAAATGAAGATGACAGTTATACCCAGGTGATAGGGTAGTTGTGAGCATTAGAAAAGAGACAACGCAAAATGTTAAAAATGCTGCCTTGTCACAGCGAGCGCTCAGTCATCATTTTTGGAAAAGGTGGGCACATTTATTTTCTTTTTAAAAATTGTTATTTAAATTCAATGAATTACCATATAATGTATTATTGGATTCAGAGGTAGAGGTCAGTGATTCATCAGTCTTCTGTGACACCCAGGGCTCATCTCATCACGTGCCCTCCTTAATGCCCGTCACCCAGTTACCCCGTCCCCCAGCCCCCCTTCCCCCCAGCAACCTTCAGTTGAATTCCTAGGATTATGAGTCTCTTAGGTAGACATTTACTTCCACAAACTGTTCCCTGTGCCTTCTTTCCACATTGCTGCTACTTCACTTTTCTTTGTTATGGGTCTTTCTCATTCCAGATTTGCATATTTTACAGAGAACTCTGAACTTATACAGGACAAGTGGGCTTTTAAGTGCTTTTTTAGTCTATAATCTCCCAAAGTCTAAAACCTAACCAAAATACGGTTGGTATTACCAATACACTGCTTTTTTTTTTTACAAAATCTGTAGACATAAGTAGCACTAGAATTATTTCTATACAACTCTCCTGATTTCTTGATTATACTCTTCACCATTCCTAAGTTATTACAATGCGAAACTGATTGTTTTAAGCATAGCATCTGTGGAACATTCTGCATCAGGAATAAGATTCGCCCCAGGGGGTTAATTTTTTTCTTCCCAGTTAAACTTCTCTGGGGCTCCAGTGGTACCCACAAGACACACAGGCATCCCAAACACATCCAACAAGATTCTCAAGCTGCCTGATGAACTCTCAGCACTTTGACAGCTTTATTGCCATTCCTGTGAAGTTACTTTACCTCTCAATTGTATGGGATCTTGCTCTCATTTCATTACTAATTAAATTCGTTTTTACTGAGTCATAAATTAATTATTTGAGGTAAAATCACGGAAATCTATACTTCCCTCCAAGATCTTTTCTTTAACTCTGGGTAATTAAACTTCAGAGTTATCGTGTTAATCTTTATTAGTATTGGAAGGAAATGACTAACGCAAAATTAAAGGCATCAATTTCTTACATAGTAGGAGAGGCTCTGTCTTAGGGGTGGGTTGACAAATTAAAAGGTGCCCTTTCCACCAGCAGTGTTTCTCCATTGTCTGGCATTGCTGCTAAGCCTAAGTTGGACATGGTTAGAAAACCTGCTCATTTATCTTCCGACTAGAGCAAATGGGATCCGACTCTAAGATCATTCGTTGTTCTAAAGGCATGTGCATTTTACAAGCTTTCCTGTCACTTTTCTCATGAAAGGTGAAAAATGACAATGTGAGGCTTAGTCTCTTTTTTATGAACAAGTACATTAGATTCCTAATTACTGGTGATAACTTGGTTTTCACTAAATGAATATAGCCTTGAGCATTCCTCATCATTGAGAACAAGGAATTTAGTGTTACATAAATATTTTACCCTATTGGATTAGTAAATGGTTTGTTAATTGGCTGATCCACATTTCTATTCAAAGAGCATGTTTAGATAAATGAATCCTTTAAATAACACCCCCAGGAGAACTCTTGGCAAACACACTGTGCTTTTTGCCATAGGGTTGTCAAAATATCTTAGAGAGAAATACGACAAAGTAAACCTTTAGAAAAGAAGATCAGACCTGGTTGCAAAAACCCATAACCCCTCTTTTCCCTCAGGACTGAGTGATTTAAACAAGGGAAGATAATTTGGTTTTACTTAACTTCTGTTATCCTAAAGCCTGAAGCCTGATAACTTTTATCAACTCATCCCTACCACTTAAGAGATTCGCTTTGAAATGTTCCCTACTCCCGGGGCTTCTCTCTCAGGGCACAGTGAACTAACAGCTGACTCCTTCCATTCAGCTCTCTGGTAACCGGAGTCCATGAGATGATGGGATGCATTCAGAGACGCGTGGACCATCTGACCCAACGGTGTTCCGCGCACAAAGAATTTGCTCTTAAGAAACAGCAACTAACTGCCTCAGTGGAGGGCCACCTCAAGAAGGTAGTCTCTTGAATGTGTCCTACCTTGCCTACTACTTAGACACAACCCTTTCCTTGGTGATACTAGATGGCACAGCATCTGCACATGGGGGCATGGTGGGAGGATAGCAGTGTGTCTCCTTTAGCTTCTCTTAGGTTCCACATTAGGTCTTGTAAGCAAACAGCATGAAGCTGTAGTTCACTATTGCTCAGCAACCATTCCTGTCCCCGGCTGCAGACACTTGCTGTGTCATCCTACCCGCCACGCCAGCCCTGAGTACAGACACACAAGGGCAGTTCTTGCTTTGCACAGAACCGAACTGTGTACATATTAGGGTTGTGTCCTTGTTTTAACATGGTTCTGTGCAGGTCTCCAGTTTGCATGAAATTCAGTTAACGTGGTATTATACGACATGAAGACAGCAGGCAAATACCAAAAATGATGTCTTAGGGATTTCCAGGGATAAATTGTCACTATCATACTTTAGCAAACAAGGTCAGTACAAAGGACATGGTCATTCTGAATAAAATAAAACATACACATGAAAGTCCTCTGCAGAGTGGATACAATGGCTTGGTATCTATTTCCTATTTTCAAAGAGGAATAAAATCAGGAAGCTGCTGTTTGACTAAAGAAAAAATTGCTTATCTGTAGCTGGGACATATAGCAAAAACTGTTTCAATGACATTAATGCTAATCAATGTCGATGCCCATTTTCAATGATGTCTTCATCTGATACAGTGGACCCATATGCCTGACTTAAGTAGAATTAGTAGACTTCACAGGAGAGGACCTTAAATACCCATGTCTCTGTCTAAATTGACTTTCCACCTGTTATCGATCCAGAAACTTGGGAATTTGAGCCTTGTTCTGATGCCTGGGTCCAGGGAGATTCCAAATATGGCAGCAGCTGTGGTGCCACATTCCCTAGAGATTGAGACTCAAGCTAATTTGGTGGTGGTGGACAACACAGCAGGAACTCAGACAACTGTCGCTCCTTGTCTTACTGCCAATTCAGAGCCAACTTGACCAAGGGAAGTATGGACTCTGGTTAGAGCCAGGAGATAGAGAATCTAACTCTGATGTTATAGAACCCCCTAAAGATGACTTTTTCACTGAATCACGTGCACTAAAAATCAAATTGCAGTGCCCCACATTCATTAATTAAATGGCCAAGTGCGTCCCTGTGTTTTATTGTCACATGTACAGGGTTTGGTACTGCCCCAGGACCTCTAAATATAGCAACCCATAGGGTGATTTAATACCTAGGCTTTGGACCTTTACTTCAAAACATACCTGTAAACTGGGCACAGTCGACTTATAGTGGATGATTATGAGTTAATCAATCAGATAAGTTCATCTCTGCTGATGTACTCTAGCAAGTACATTATCCATTCTAGGTAATATAGATAAATTCTCAGAAGATGTGGATGATTGTTTATATCTCATTTCTGTTAATAAAATATATGTCTGTTAATAAATATATGTCTTTAAACACATACCCTCTGTTGATGGGTCAGTCGTGTTACCTCCTACAAAAGGCAACATTATTAATTTAAACATGACATTCTAAAATATTTAAAACTTTTTAGATGAAAATTGGCATATCCATTTAAAGTACAGTGGGAGTGGTGAGAGTGGTATTTATCTTTTCTATAGATAAGTCATCATGTATGCACATACGTTTTACTAAGACTGCCATATATTCTTTGTTGCTAAAGGTGGAAATGTCAATTCAGAAAATCAGTCCGGTACTTTCCAAGGCAATGGATGTCGGTTCCAGCCTTTCTGAATCAAGGAAGATTTTGAGTAAATACTTGGAACTGGATATCCAAGCTAAGGTAAATTAAATAGGAATTTTTGTTATGGTAATGACTTTGTAAATATGATTTATTTATATTCAGTGGCTATAAAACTTAATCCGGCTCTCTTGAGGGTTGCAATTCTAAATTGATATTGTGGTAAACAATGACTTAAAACTTCTATTATGTGTATCTAAATTATTTATACTCATATGTGCATTTATTAGTGTGTTTGATCTCACTGAGACTGTAGCTTGGTATTAAATAGTCATTTGGCCCCTTTTCTTTGCCTGGGAAATGTTAGCAACTCCTTTTGGGATGCCACAGGAGGCAGGGAGAGTGCTTCTCTATGACTATCTGTGATTTTCTGCTAGAGTAACTTACAAAAGAAAATTCCCAGAAGAAGCATGCATTAATGCAAGATTCTAGGAAGCAAATAAAAACACAATCTTGCTTGCAAGCCCGATATTCAGGGACAGGAAATACCCTCTTTTTCCCGGCACCTCCTCTAGCTTCCCCTTGCCCCTCTCCTATGGGACTGAGGTTCCAGGACTCTTGCTAGTAGCTCCAAAGCTGTACTGAGTCCCAGCCTGCCCCAGCAGGTGTTCAGGAGGGTGAGCCTAGCACCTTCCCTGGCTTACCCATTGGTAGGCAATGGTTATTCCATGGGTTCTCGGCCAGAGGGCCTTCACATTTGGAAACTCACGGACATACTGATTTTTTTTTTTTACTCACTATTTAAAATGTTTAAAATAAAACGTATGTCTGAATCCAATTTCTCTTTTCCTATTTTAAGAATTTTAGAAGGAGGGAGGAAATAGCATGGGGAGAAACTGCCCTGCTTCCTCCTACCCAGAGTGCTATCTGGAAGCAACACTTGGAAATGAAAATTAGCTTCATTCACTGGAGGAGTTGAGAAGCATATTAAATACAAGCGGGGAAGCAATTCTTTCTCGCTGAAAATGACAGTGAAGCTTTTTTCTTTCATTTTTGCTTGATTCCTTGCACAGTCTCGTGTAAAATTTTATGTGGCTCTTTCTGGGGGCAATTGTAGATGTAATGCCTACCCTACCGTTATCTGTTAGATTTTACCTGCTAGAAATTGCACTCAAAACTCAGAAGAGCAACCCTGTGGGCCACTTAGATTTCATATGGAACATTTCCCCTACACTTGCTTCAAAACCCTTCTAGGTAGAGATTCAAATAAGACCGCATAACTGACATGCCATCTTTTATAAATTAAACAAGGAGTAAACAGTCTCTATAACCTTGCCATCTCCTGTTTAACAAAATTAGTTTAAGAATTTGCTAGAGCTTTTGTTAAATTTCATAAAGCAATTCTCACATATACTTGTTAAACAAATTACTTAAAACATTTCCGCCATGTTGTTTTATAACTTTTCACACCAAACAGCCTTTCTTCTATTTGTGACCCAAAAAAACAGAGTGCTCCAGATGAAAAGCGGAGCTGATAGAGTGAGAGAGTAATTTGAAATGGTTTTCATTTTAAGATAATTTTTTTTTTTTTTTTTTTTTTAGTTTTGAAAGTTGTGCCTTTCTTTCATCGAGGAGAGTTCTGGTAGCAGATCAATTAATAATCGCAATAGATGGGTGTACAGAAGGTAATGAAATGTGAATGTTCATGATTCCCCTGTCAGCTTCTGACCCCCTGTTCTTTGCTTTCATAGGAGACAGCACAGGAATTAGAAGCAGCTGCAACACTTGTGACAGAGAAAAATGAATTTGAGCCTGACAAAATGGCATTGCTTTCTTCTAAAGCTAAATGGCTGGAGGAAGAATTAAAAATTCTTGACCAAAGCATCAGCTCCAGGTCACAAGTCCTGCAAGCTTATGTGGCGTTTCTACAGTCATCAGAAGAGGTACGGTGCCTGTGTGCTGACCTTCCTTCAGGTGGCCTCTTCCCTTCCTCCTGCCTTCCTGGGAGATAGAAGCCCTGGCGGGTGGTCCGTAGCCTTCGCTCCCATTGCACTCACTTCGTGGCCCTTCATTCTCCAAGGCACCATGTGTGGACTCAAAGAGTAAGTTGTTTAACTAAAAGAAGAATGCAAGTGTTTCGGAGACATACTCACAAATAAGCAAAGTGATTGTGTTGGAACACTTTTTTTTCTTTTTTAACTGTGACCAACAAGCATTTACAATACCCTGAACGTTGAACAAAATGATTTAAAAAGAAGTCATCTTCTTTGAATACCCAAGCAATTAGTGCAATTCATTTAAAATACATACACAGAATCAGAAATTAGGGGCTTTGGGGTCCAGTCTCAGATCGGTCTTGTTTGATGCCTTTTAACGAGTCACGTCTGAGGGCAGCTTCTGAGGCACTCTTCTGACAGGGCTGTACTGGAGAATCTGTAAATGCCTGCTGTAGACGAGGGTTCCATCTCTCAAAGGGCCCAGCCTCTGGGCGATGACACCAGTAATGGAGGGGTGCTAGGTGCCACCTCCTTCAACTTGGGGCAGCGTGTCCGGGAGCGCCTGGCATGAGGTGGAACCAACATGGTCCACTCAGGGGTAAAGCCAACCAGGAGCGTGCTGGCATTGCGTTGCCTCACTGCCACCTCCCCCTGTCCCCCTGCTACCCCGGTGTCCCGCCTAAGCACAGCTCCTGTCAGCAGCTCCCATGCTCACCCCTCCGGAGGAAGGCCATGCCAAGTCCCTGCAAATCTGCGGTCACCACTGCCGCCTCCTCCACATTTTACTCCACCTTTTGTCCTTTCTGGCTTTTTTTTACTGTTTCCTAGCCCCATACCCTCATGGTTTGGCAGGGGGCTGGGAGGTGACAGGATTATCCTATTGAACGTTTTTATCTGGAACTTGAAACGGTGGAGAAGGTACAAAGACGTGCTGTGTCCTGTGCCTTCGTTGCCCCGAACACACCTGCTTGGCTTCAAGTTCAGCATCCACTCCCATGGCCCCTCTGGCCTTAGGCACCAGAGCCTCTCTGCTCTGGGACCTCAGCTTTGTGAGAAGCACCTCCTCAGAGGACCTTATGTCCCTGCGCCCTCCTTGTTCTCACTAAACTGTCTTCCTCCCTGGGCGGCCTTCTGTCCTCTCACCCTGCCCCTCCAGCCTTTCCTTCTTTCCTCACCAGCTCCCAGTTATTCATTTCCAGCCCCACCTCCGCACCCCCCCTGACTCCCCACTGGTTCCCAGCACTGGGCCACCCAACGGTCGGTTTACTCAGCTCCCATCTCCAAGCTTTTAGACGCTCCTGCGGAAAATCATACAATGGTGCTGATGGGCAGCGTTACCATGGGTGGGCTCTGCCTCAGCCAGGATCCCCTGCACCCCTAGTCAGTGCCCATGCGGTAGCAACGCTCAAACATCTTCCCTGGTTTCCTCCCCTGCATCCCAGCCAATGCCCTTTCCTCGGATGTGACTGGAAAAAATGAGGCCATTGAGCCTATGTGTCTTGACCTCCTTCAACTTCCAAACCTACTGATTCGCTTCATCCCTCCTCCAGCTACCAACCCAGTGGAGCCTGTCTCTGTGCCCCCCACGAGCCAGTGGTCAGCCCCCTGGGGACACACGCCTCCACCCTTCAGAATCTAGCCTCAGCCGGACCCATCCTCCTGTTGTTCAAGTTGGCTTTTTCCATTGCTTCCTTCTCTTTGGTCTGCAGCTGTGCCTGGTGGTATTGCCCTCAGCACAGCTGGCGCTCTGTGGTTGACCTTCCCGTCCCACGGGCACTCTGGGGACAGGAAGGTGACACGTCTCCCTTCTGCACACCTGTTCTCCCCCAGCCACGCCCTGGTGCCTCTAGTGTATTCCCTTTGCAAGCCTGCCCGTCGCCACCTCTTCACCCCATTGAGAGGGCTCTGAGAGCCTCCTAACTGGCTGCCAGACGAGATGGTGTATTTTCCATCTTCATCCCCCTTAATCTCTCTGCCACATTTATTTAATTCACTCACTCTCACCTCCTGTGACTCTTTAAAAGATAGAGTTGTGTAAGTCCAATTTGCATAGGATAAAATTCACCTATTTTAGAGTGTGATGATTTTTAGTATATTCATAGAGTTGTGCAAGCATCACTGCACTCTGGTGTTAGTACATCTCCATCACCCTGAAGAGAGGCCTGCTACATATTTTGTCACTCCTGGCTTCCATCCTCCAGCCTCTGGCAAGCACAGAAAGGCTTTCTGTCTCAGCAGATTTACTGTATGTGGATATCCACATAAGTGGCATCATGTTGTCTACTTCTTTATCCATTCATTTTCCTTTTTCCTCATTTAGTTTCCTGTTCCTGAAGTGTGGTGGGTCATGGAGCTCTTACCTGTGCTCCCTTTTGGACATTCTATACACTTTCCCTACAAAGATCGCACTCCTACCTGTGGGTGTTTTTTTTTTTTTAATTGAAGTTCAATTTGCCAACATTCAGCATAACCCCCAGTGCTCATCCCGTCAAGTGCCCCCCTCAGTGCCCATCACCCAGTCACCCCAACCCCACGCCCACCTACCCTTCCACTATCCCTTGTTTGTTTCCCAGAGTTAGGTATCCCTCATGTTTTGTCACCCTCACTGATATTTTCACTCATTTTCTCTCCTTTCCCTTTATTCCCTTTCACTAATTTTTATATTCCCCAAATGAATGAGACCATAATAATGTTTCCTTTTCCGATTGACTTATTTCACTCAGTGTAATACCCTCCAGGTCCATCCACGGCGAAGCAAATGCTGGGTATTTGTCATTTCTAATGGCTGAGGAATATTTCATTATACACATAGACCACATATTCTTTATCCATTCATCTTTCTATGGACACCGAGGCTCCTTCCATAGTGTGGCTATTGGGGACATTGTTGCTATAAACATCGGGGTGCAGGTGTCCCAGCATTTCATTGCATCTGTATCTTTGGGGTAAATCCCCAGCAATGCAATTGCTGGGTTGTAGGGCAGATTTATTTTTAACTCTTTGAGGAACCTCCACACAGTTTTCCAGAGTGGCTGCACCAGTTCACATTCCCACCAACAGTGCAGGAGGGTTCCCCTTTCTCCACATCCTCTCCAACATTTGTGGTTTCCTGCCTTGTTAATTTTCCCCATTCTCACTGGTGTGAGGTGGGATCTCATTGTGGTTTTGATTTGTATTTCTCTGATGGCCAGTGATGCGGAGCATTTTCTCATGTGCTTGTTGGCCATGTCTATGTCTTCCTCTGTGAGATTTCTCTTCATGTCTTTTGCCCATTTCATGATTGGCTACCTAGGGTTTTAATTCACCAACTCAAAAATGGTTCCTCAAACCCTACTCTTCCAAGTCCCAGACCAATGCTTTCAACTTCCATTCATACTAACTCCCTCTGTAACCTGTAGGCTCCTGAAGCTCAGCAGAACACAGCCAGTTATCTATTTTTCAAACATGTTTTTCCTCTGTATCTTGGCCTTGGAGTAACGATCTCATCCTTTCTCAGAAGTCCTATGTATAAGTTCCGAAGTCTTTTCCAAGGCCTCTCTCAATGAACACTTATTTTGTATGAGGTCCCATGCTCTTCATTCCTAATTTACTTTATTTATTTAAAGGTTTTATTCACCTATTTGAAGAGAGAGAGAGAGAGAGAGAGAGAGAGAGAGAAAATGAATTGGGGGGGAGGAGCAGAGGGAGAGGGAGAAACAGACTCCCCGCTGAGCAGGGAGCCCTACATGGCTTGATCCCAGGACTCTGGGATCATCATCTGAGCTGAATGCAGATGCTTAACCAACCGAGCCACCCAGGCACCCCATCCCTGATTTCATTTAATTCTTGTAACACCTCTGTGTTGTTACTATTATCCCTATTTTACAAATGAGGGAAACCGAGACTCTAGGAAGGTAGTTGTCCAAGATCAAAGAACTAGTAAATGTCAAAGCTGAAGTTGAATCCCCAGTTGACTTCTTTTTTGTCTTTTCCTATGTTGAAGGCCATTCTATCCCTTGTTTGTCTATGGGGACAACCTAAAAGATTTCTGAATTCCCCTTCCCCTCCACCTGCACCATCACTTTTTCAGTTCAAACCCTCATCTCTTGTTCAGCTTGAGGATGTTGTCTTCTGTTTTCTCCACCTCCTATAATTCCCCCCTCCAATCCTTTCTAAAAAATGGTCATTCTAAAGCAAATCTGATTGTGCTACCTCCTGATATTCAGGTAACATGAGAAACATAATTTGTGCAACAAATCACAAATAACTTTCTTATTCAAATTATAAATAACTTTTTACCAAAAGTGGATGAAGTATTAAAATTTATCATTAATTCTCTTAAAACACAAACTAGTACAGATTCAAGGGAATTCCTATAATGGCATCATTCTCTCTGGTAGTCAAGGCTTCTTTGAGGTGTTGTAAAAGGAGGATGAATTAAAGTCTATGTTTTGAGAGTTGCACACAACCGACAGTCCCTCGAACTGACACCCCAGCCTGTAGCTACAATCTCAGATACATGCTGATAGTTGTCATGCTGATTCTGAGCCATTGTAATGGCTATCAGTTGTCTCAGACTACTGAGAATTTGTCATGTCTTGTTGGTTACAGTAGGAAACAAGTTGAAACCTGCTGGCCACCTTATCTGGCTCTGGGATCCTTCTAGCTTCTTTTGTAACCACTCAGCTTGTGCAACCAGAACTTCACTCCCACTACCATCTTTCATCACGCTCTGAAACAGCCAGTGTTTTCACACTTGTGCCTTCATGTGTGTGATCCCTTCCATCCAGGATCCCATTCTGCTCCCTCTCACCCTGGACAGTTCTGAAAGACACAGATCAAATGTCACTTGCCTTGGGATGTGCTTCTCTATTTACTCTGTGTAGAGTTCATGGTCCCTCCTCAGCGAGGCCATAGCATTGTGCTGTGTATGTGTTTATATGTGTGTATGCTTGTCTTTAGGTTTCAGTAATTTGCTTACAGTTCTCTTTCTCCCAGAACTATCTTTGGGAACCCAAGGAAATAAATGCTTAATTCTTACCAGGGAATCTGAGGAGACTCCATGAAGGGAGTAGCATTTTAAGTAGTTCAGAAGGAAAAGTAGGAACAGAAAATTAAAGAAAGCTCATTGTGGGTTGAAGAAACAAGTATCAGCTAGAGGCATGAATAAATGGAATATGAGAAATGAGAATAGAACTCCTGTTTCTGAGCACCATTTGGAGGCCCACCTATTAAGTTGATTTAAATGATGTTTGATGTTAATATCTTTAAAATATGATGACCAACCATTGCTTGAAATTTCTCACCCTGATTCAACCACTTTGAGTAGTTATGAGCTCTTTGAGTCTTGTCCTATTGGCCATTAAATATTACTCAAAATGCATAAAAGCTTATGTCAAAATTTTTCTACTAATTCTCCATTTCCCAATTACCTGTTAATCTATAGTTCTACAGGTGCATTTGATTTTATGTAAGCTCTAATCAAAGAGAGTGATTTAAAATAATCTAGTGCTGTTAGCATTGCTTAGCATATGAGAAAATATAATTTTAGGCAGGTGAAGTAATGTGCCTTAGTAAGATACAGTTTAATATTAATACTTGCACAGAAAATTAGTAATTGTACTTTTTTATTCTGGTTTATTACTAATTAGAAGGAAATTGTGATTAGTAATTATAAATAATTTTTCACTGGCTTACATTTCTTTCTTTCTGATTTGTATTCCCTGGTTGTGTCTGTGTGTGTTTATGTGAGAATCTTCCTTCTGAATCATAAAACACGCTTTAAAGAGAACCACACTGGTCTTTGACGTAAATTGTCCCCAGTTGTAAAACATGTACATATGTAATACAGAAGTAAGGTTTTGGCTCTGGTAGCTAGGTCTTTTTTTTTTTTTAAGATTTAATTTATTTATTCATCAGAGATGCAGAGAGAGAGAGAGAGAGAGAGAGAGAAAGAGGCAGAGACACAAGCAGAGGGAGAAGCAGGCTCCATGCAGGGAGCCTGATGTGGGACTCGATCCCAGGACTCCGGGATCATGCCCTAGGCCAAAGGCAGGTGCCAAACCACTGAGCTACCCAGGAATCCCCCTAGTAACTAGTAGGTCTTATGGGTAGCAGACTTGTCAACTTAATTTGCTACTGAAGGGCAGTCTTATCTGTCAACAACCTAAATAGATTTTCATGTCTCTTCAGTAAATTGACAATATTTAATAATTACTTAAAGAATTCTGAGATGTAGTTTGTTTAATTTTGTACAGGCTTTTATTAGAATCTACTGCTATTTTTCTTTAAAAACGTTTTTAAGTGTTCTTAATTTTCATTTATACTCTTCTTTTTGTTTTGTTTTGTTTTGTTTTGTTTTGTTTTGTTTTTAGGTACAGGAGCAGTGTCAGGGCCTAAAGCAGTTTTACCAATCTGAAATCCTGCAGAAGGAAGAGGATGATGCTGAAGCCAAGCATCGATCTGACTCAGCTGAGGAGCAATGGCAGCTATTTTTGAAGAGGAGTTTTTTAACTCAAGACCTAGGGCTTGAGTGCCTTAATTTAATAAATATGGTAAGAATGACATTAAATGTGTCACACCTTCTGCAAAGATTCCTTGTCAAAGTCAAAACCATAAATTCAAAAGTACATCTGTCTGCTAATCAGCCTTGCTGGTTTAGGAGGTTGTTTTCGGTTTTATTTATTTACTTATTTTTAGATTTATTCCACTTAGAACAGTCCCTAAAGCCAGGTAATTATATGCTTAGTTGGTCTTAGACCTCCTATTCATTTCTAATGAAGGCTATTTTTTTTAAGATTTTATTTATTTATTCATGAGAGACACACAGAGAGAGAGAGGCAGAGACATAGGCAGAGGGAGAAGCAGGCTCCTCTCAGGAAGCCCAATGCGGAACTTGATCTCAGGACCCCAAGATCACCACCTTAGCCAAAGGAAGATGCTTAACCACTGAGCCACCCAGGCACCCCAAGGAGGGCTCTCCTTTATTTATATTTTTTAAAAAGATTTTTATTCATTTGCTCATGAGATACACACAGAGAGAGAGGCAGAGACACAGGCAGAGGGAGAGGGCAGGCTCCATGCAGGGGGCCCAACATGGGACTTGATCCTGGGTCTCCAGGATCACGCCCTGGGCTGAAGGCGGCGCTACACTGCTGAGCCACTAGGGCTGCCCCTAATGAAGGCTATTTTAACTATTAAGGAGAAAGAGTGACTTGACTATCCTTCAAATACAACATTTCCATTATTACATAGAGACCTCAGTAGAAGTCCATCCGAAAGTTCTGTGTTATTTTGAAAGCGTGTAACAAGGTACTTACAAAATTTCCGGGGGTTAAAGACATCTAGGGTGAATTGTCATTTTGAAGAATTTCTTACTGTAGCAGATCTTTTCATAGGGCAGCTCTATTATATTTAAAAATATACTCTAGGGGATCCCTGGGTGGCTCAGCGGTTTGGCGCCTGCCTTTGGCCCAGGGCACGATCCTGGAGTCTCAGGATCAAGTCCCACATCAGCCTCCCTGCATGGAGCCTGCTTCTCCCTCTGCCTATGCCTCTGCCTCTGTGTGTGTGTGTGTGTGTGTGTGTGTGTGTCTATCATAAATAAATAAATAAATAAATAAATAAATAAATAAATAAATAAATAAATAAATCTATCTTTAAAAAAATATATATATATACTCTAAATTTTAGTTGTTGAGTTGTTATCTGTAAACTACTCTAGAATCCTTAAATCAACCTCCTAATGAAACTGCTCATTTCATTGTTACAAAATGCTAGATACTAGAAATTTTTTTTTAATATTAAGGCAAATCTGTCTGTTTCTAACCCTCTGTAGTTACACAGGGAAAAAATTGTTCATATTTCATTCTTCTCACACATGAAAGTCCTTCAAACTCTGAACATAGTTGCAGTGTCTGAGTTTTTTCTGTAGCTAGCCACGTAGAAATCCTATCATTTATGAGATAACTTCATTTCTCTTCCCATTGTAATTCTCCCAGAATTTTTCTATGTTTTGTCAAAATCATTCATAAAATGTAACCAAAAAGTGAGTTCCAACTTCAACACAAAGTACAACAAAGTGGACATCTTTCTTTACTAAGGAAACCTAAGATTATGCTAGCGTTTTTAGTAATAATTTCTCTTTTGCTGGTTCATATTCGGCTGTGATGAAATAAAACTCTCATTACATTTTCATTATAATTCCTACCAAGCTACTTCTCTCTCATTTTATATTGGTCAGGCATTTATTTTTTACATACAAGTGCAGGCCTTTACATTTATCCCAATTTAATTTCATTTTGTTTGTCTTCACCCATGATTCTATCTTGTTAAACTAATTCTGAACCTGCTGTCTACTGCATTAGCCATCTTTTCTGAGTTTAATTGTATACATTTGATAAGTAGGCCTTCTGTGGCTGCAAGTAGATTTTTAATAAAAGTGTCCAGGGACAAGTCAGCTTCCCAATCCATTAAGCCATCAGTTGATTAACCTGTTTATTGAACAGTCATGGACACTTTCAATAGTACTTCATTTCAACCATTAATTCACAACTTTTCCCCCTTATCTATAGTGAGAGAGACAGCTCAAAAGAAGGTCTACTTACCAAGAATCCTATCAATTACATAAGTATTATTTAGCATAAATCAGGAATTCTTTCCAAAGTGCTCACAAACTACTGGATTGATGATGAACTTACTGCACTGATTTTCATTATAAAGCTTATCAGTCTGTAAATAGTGTAGCCCACCCTCTCCTTGTGAAAATCAGGGCATTTTCCTTTCTCTAACTTTCTGGCCTTTCTCTTATTTTCTGTTGATTTGCAAAGATTACTGACATCTGCAATTTTCCCAATACTCTGAAATGTGATGAATCTCAGTCTGGAGTCCGAATTCATTTGGAAGATTAGGTTCTGTAACTATACTCATCTACTTTGAGTTATAATTTTCTCTTTATCTACTCTAGCTCCACATTTGCTGTTCAAAGACTGTACTTATTAAGTCTATGTGAAAACAAAATAAGTATTTAATAATGCTGATTTATCTAATGCTATTCTTAAGCATCAGAGAAAACTTGCTAAGCAATTTCCCCATGTTCTTTTATTACATAGGTGTTTTACAGTAAAAACCAAGTTATTTTACATTTGGAGCATTTAGAACACATATTACCTATCTATCATCTTTTACATTTTTACTTTGTTCGTTATATAGTCTTCAATCTCTTGATGTGACTGCTCTAATTTGTACTCATAAGGGAATTAAAGTATTTGCAAACTGCATTTATGTGTCCATCCTTTTAATTACTAACTTCATTTCAGAAATTTTTCAGTTCTGAAATTTCTATTATAATTACATTTCAATTGCCAATGAAATTCTCTCTCTTGTCCTCTCTACATATTTGCTGTACTTTCTTGACCATATTAATCATGGGTATTTTAAAGTGTTTGTCAGCTAATTCCAACATCTGGGGTGGGAGTTGTTTCTGTTGTCTACTTTCCTCTTGGTTTTCAGTAACGTAGTCCTGTGTTGCCAGGACCCATGAATATTTGTCAAGTCTCAGACATTATGTGTTAAATACATGCTTTACCCCAAGGTCCTTACTGCTTTCATATAATAAATTTCTCCTTGTTGATAAACATTAAGATCCACATAATAGTTAACTTTATTGGTTCAGAGACATTCTGAGATAGGAAATTGTTGGTAGAGCAATTAAAACACATTTTTAATGCTCTTCATATTTTTTGGACCATTAGGTTTTTAAACAAACATTATTGTTGAAATGTGGTAACCAGTTCCGTTGTTAAAAAGAAGGCCAGCTGGCATTTTCCACTGGATGATTGGGTTGTTGTAGCTCATCTTTTCAAGCTTGAAACTGAAAAATTTTCAGTTCATTTAAAAAAATCATCAAGATCAGAGAAATTGATTTAGGTGAGAAATCTGGCAGACATATTGATCAAAGTGCCAATTTACTAATTTATAGCAGTGAATATCAAGGATGTGATCCAGGATATTGCCTTCCTGTTATCAGCATATCTAGACAACAAAACACACCATTTGTGCCTGAATTCAAATGGAAAATGGGTAATTTAGATTACCCATTAGACAAGAATATGGCAAATTTTTCCATGCCCCTGCACAGAAGTAGAATGTGTATTGTGTTTACCAACTAGACCTTGGACAAATTACTTAATCTTCCTGAGTGGTCAAAATATTTAAGTCTGCCAAGTACATAATCACTCTTCTTGAATCCTGCTAGATAGACAGCAACTACTACTACTGTGGTCTCTTTTTTCCAGACCTCACTTGAATCATACCCTGCTGATTGTGGTTGACACTGATATGCTGCAATTTCCAAGTTTACATTAAATTATATGTTACATTTTGATTAATAGTTTCCTAATAATGTGTAAAAGATATGCTAATTTTATAGCATAGATCAAAAATATTATTTGGGATGGGTTCTGCTAAAGTCTTATGATCTTTTATGATATATTAGAATCTTCTTAACCATAATTACAGCATATATAATTTTATTTCTGAACCCCAAATTCATGGGGGGAAATCTAATTTAGGCCTGGAATTATATTCTTTTGTAATTAATGAATACTTTATATGTCTAAATTAATATGAAAATATAATTTTTATATTAATGTCATTTAGAATAATTTAAAAATAAAATGGTCTTTTAAAATTTTGTTACATATTTTTGACACTGTCTTCGGACTACAATCTAAAAGATGCCTTGACTTTTAGATACCTAGCTGTAATTGCAATTATAGACATCCATGTACGTTTGCTCCTTAGAAATTCAAGGATTTATTGAGAAATGCTGGCCATCAAAGTGAAAATCATTGTTTTGTCAGCCAAATATTCTCTGTATTTTTTTATGTTTGCACATAAAAAAAGCACATAGTCTTACTTTTCACATCTCTTATCCTTCTGCCTCCAACTGAATTTCCCCTTATTTAAAAACATTGTTTAAAGACCTTCAAATCAGTCAACCAGAACGTAGAAGCTGGGAAGAGGCCTCTGAATTTAGATATTGTGATTCTGGTGAATAATAGAGATACAAATATACAGATATATAGACAGACGTTTCAGTTCTCACAAAAGGGAATAACTTCAAGAACTATTCACAAAGAAAATCTGAAGTAATCATAGTATATACAAATGTGAAAGTTTAAAGAGAAAAACAGACCCCTCGTAATTCCTGATACCAAGATTTTGACATATGCTAATGATGTGTTAAAATAAAAGGTGGACTATACTTTAAAACTTATGCATTAAAATAATCTTGAGGTTAACATTTCTGGGAACTGGTTCTTGTTTTATCACCCTGTATGCCCTAGGAAATAACTAGACCCTGGCCAGGGGTGGGGAGGGTGGTGGCTCAAATAGCACTGGGTTTTGAAGAACTCAGGACCTGGTGTCCAAGCATAGAATATAGGTTCTGAGAGCCCCACTGTGCCTTCACACAGGCATCCCAGACTTGCCTTAATGTCAGAACCATACTCTGCGTTGGCTATGATCAGGTGTTTTCCTCTAAAATTGTATATGCAAAAAAGTTGTGTCTGTTGGGGGAAAAGAAGCCATTTTATGGATTATTAACTTAACAGGCAAAAAAGGATGAAATATTAAATGTGAAAAGCAGAGTACACTTGATGGAGAACACCATGGAAAGCCACAAGGCAGAAAGAGAAGAACTCAGCCACCTTCGGATGACATGGCAACTTAAAGCCATCGCGAGCAAGCCTTTGAAACAGCAGTGGGGAGCATTCAAAGAACAACTCAGAAAGGTACAAGAACGTGCAGTGGGTATTATTAAGTCTTAAAAAGGAATGAAATTCTGACATGGGCTGCAACACAGAAGAGACTGTAAAACATGATGCTAAGTGAAACAAGCCAGTCTCAGAAGGATAAGTGCTGTATAATCCCACTTAGGTGAAGTACCGAGAGTCAAGCTTATAAAGAGAGAGAGTAGAATAGTTGTTAGCAGGGCTGAGGGAAGGAGGGATGGGGCAGCTACTGGTAAATGGATACAGAGTCTCTGCCCAGGATGAGACAAAGTTTTGGAGGTAGATGGTGGCGATGGGTGCATGCCAGTGTTCATGTCCCAATGCCACCAAACTACACAATTAACAATTAGTTAAAACAGTAAATTTTGTTATGTATATTTTGCCACAGTTAAACAACAACAACAACAAAAAGTAAGGGAAACCCAGGGCCTGCACTTTTGTTCATTGGTGGTTTAGAACTATGAACTCATTTGAGGTAGTGAATGTTTTCATGGGAATGGAGAAGTTCGATGACGTACCAGTCATCACTGGAATGATTGTTTCATATTTGCTGATGGTGTCAAGGAAAACAAATACATAACTATCTAATGTTTATTTCAGACTACTTACAACTTAAAACGTCTTCAGGAAGCACTTATGCCTGTGTCTGCCCTTGACCTTGGAGGGAGCCTCCAGACCATTTTAGGTCTACAGAAAAAATGGAACGAAATGAAGCCTCAGCTCCAGGTGACAAAACAGACTGATGGATCCAGGCAAATGGGAAAAAAAATCAAAAGTTGTTCAATTGAGGTTTACCTAATTAATTTTAACAGACTGGTGAATCGCTATTTTTTTTTTAAACAAAAGCATTGCTTGTCTAAAACTCCACTTTTAAAATACATTTTTCTTCCTGTTGTTCTGCACTAGTCTGTGTTTGATGATTCACAAGCATTCAGGCTGCAAAATGTCCTTAATAGATTCTTATCTTACATTAATTTTACATTGAATTATTTCTTTATTAATGTATTTATCACATATATTCACCCTAATTATTTTCTTAAGAGGTATCTAGACACATTTTATTTTTTTATTTTTATTTTTTTAAAGATTTATTTATTTATTTATGATAGACATAGAGAGAGAGAGAGAGAGGCAGAGACACAGGAGGAGGGAGAAGCAGGCTCCATGCCGGGAGCCCAACGCGGGACTTGATCCCGGGACTGCAGGATCGCGCCCTGGGCCAAAGGCAGGCGCTAAACCGCTGAGCCACCCAGGGATCCCTAGACATGTTTTAGAGTTAAGATATCTCAGAGAAAGGATGGACAAGCTCTGATGCAGAGGCTCTGCTGCCCTTTGTCCCTGGAATTACCACTCTGATGTCACTGTCCCCACCCACTGGCACCCCAGCTTCCCCTTACCCTCCCAGGAATCTCGCTGTGCCTCTCTCATTCCCCTTCTCAGAGAACCCTCAGGATATGAGAGAGAAAACCATGAGTCATGTTCCCAGGCCCTGACTGATAATGCATTCCATACCCTTCACCTCCTGCTGCTCCTAAACCTGATACAACTGCCAAAAATGATTGCCAGTCATGCTGCCCTCCTGCCTGGCCTCCTGTTCTTGACTGCTGCAAAGTTAAGATATCTGTGCCTCTGTTGGTTACTACTTCATAAGTGTTGGCTTTAAAGAATGACGAATCAGAAAACTGAAGGATTCTTTAAAAGTATAACTGATATAAATATATAACCAACCCCCCCACACACCCCACACCCAAAAACACCCTGTTGTAGCCTACCATGAATGATTTCCTATAAATTCTTAGAAAATTCAACTAGCCTACATGTTAGGGACTTTGATATACCCTGTGTTAGATGTTTATTTGCATTTCATGTATGCATGTGTGCATGTGCCCCTAAAAATGCACGAGTGTGTGAAGTCCTCTGTCCAGGGCATTCCCAGGCTATGCACTGTGATGTGCATATATTTGATGGCCCCATGCTTGATTTCAACTTGAAGACTTTTATGTTACTCTTCTGCAAATTATTTTCCTTAGCCTAAACCATTTCCATGACTTTTTTCCTTGATGTAAAATCCATCCCTGACGTTCTGGTGGCTTCCTCCTAGAGTTGTCCACCCTTTGCAAGTTCTATCAGAATCATGGTTTCATCTAAGGGATATCTGAACAGTGCTGGGTAAAAAGGAAGCTGCTTTATCCCTCCCTACATGTGCTGGCTATTTGTGGATTCTGGGATGACCATTTTTAAAGCAGCATATCTAACGCGTTGCTCAGCTGGTAATTCATTCTGATCATTCTGTTATCATAGAGGACAAGTGATTCCCCCAATATATTTTTAGACTTGTCTTTTCATGGTGTTTTTACCATACCGTCTGACTCTAGGCTGTATTAAATATCAGAGATGATTGTGGCTTCACAAAATATCAAAAATACATTCATTTAGCACATAACTGGAGTAGTTGGTGTGCCATAGAAATATGGGACTTTGTGTTTTACCAGCTGACTCTGAAACACATTTTTTGCATTGGTAATACTTTTTATTTTTATTTCTGAGAAGATGGGGAGAGAATAATGTATCCTTAGCATCAAGCCCAAAGCCTGGATTTGTAGGGAATGGGGTGAGGCTGACAAAAGTAATTGTTAGCAATGAGAGAATGATTTCTGATTTAGATCTTCGTATAGTCAGGTGTAAAGTAAAAAGCTCTCTAAAAACTGGATATCTCTTATTGCTTTTAACTTTTTAGCAACTGAATGATGAAGTTCAGTACATTATAAAAGAATCAGAAGAGTTAAGTGGCAAAGGAGCCCCCATGAAAGAGAAGTCACAACAACTGAAGGAGCTTATTCACCTCCATCAAACACAGAAAGAGAGAACCCGAGATTATGAGGATATCTTGTACAAGGTGGTCCAATTCCACCAAGTCAAGGAAAAGGTAAGATGTGTCACGGATACCTGGAAGACTCTCAGTTTTAAACCGTGAAATTAAGAATAAATTATTGTCTAATAAAGACCAAATTGTTTATTCTGGTATTAGGAACTTTCCGCAATCTGGCCTTTAACTTTTCTCACTACACCTCAATCCTCCCTTATGTTCCAGCCAAACTGAGCTCTTTGTTTCTCAAAGATGGTGCACACATTCCTAACTCCCAGCCTGGGCTCCCAGGCACCATTATCTGACAGGTCCTTTTCTCTCCTCTCTACTGTTTAAACCCTGCCTCACTTGGAATCTTGGAATTCCAACAAATCTGCCTCACTTGGAATTTGTCTTCCTTCTAAATTTGCAGAAGTTTCATTATTTATCTCACACACTTGTCATTCTTAGCGTCTTGATTCTTAATTACTCCCCTGCCCCAAGTCAACTGTAAGCCCTTTGAGGGGAGAAAACAAATTTTTTTTTGGGGGGGGGTTTCTCAAGTACATGACATTATGGAGTGCTCAGTAAAGCTTCATAGTTATTAGCTTCTATTAACAGAAAATGAACATATATTTATATCCCTTTATTTATTTTTTTTATATCCCTTTAAAATAGCCCCTGAATTTACTCAGATTTTGCAAAGGTTTTGGACTATGACCAAAAAAGAGTGTTTTCTTCTTTAATAGAACTGGCAATGTTAATTCCTCCATTTTACCATCTCAATTTGAAGCACTGTAACATTTCTTTGTCTGTGACACTCATAATTATAGATGGGCTTGGCAGCATTTTGACCAGGTAGTAAAATTGGTTATAAGAAATAGGCTTTTAAAAAAAAAATTGTCTTCATGAAAGTTTGCAATCTATGTTAATGGTTAGTGTCCTAAATTCCAGCTGGGTCATCTCAACAAATCAAGGGAAATGGAGTTTTTAGGACAGCCGAAGGAACTGGATGATGCCCATGAAGCCCAGGTTCACCTCAGCCGCTCTCAGGATAAGCAGGCACAGATTGATCATCTCCATGACCTGGCCCTTTCCCTGGGAGTGGACATCATCTCATCAGTGCAGCGGCCTGTAAGCAACAACACTGTCATTCATACCTAATTAAAGCTGAAAGTTGGGGTATAATATCAAAGAAACCTGGCAGATTGTCAGTAAATGTTAAATTCAAAAATACATTAAACCACTGGGATAGTTATTTGTGGTTAATTCCTACCACCTATAACAACAACAACAACAAAAAAAACAATTCTTAAGGAGAGAAATCTGTTTATAAAAGTCTTGCTTAATACGTCTATTCTCACACTAATTAAAAAATAGAATTGTAGAACTGTGCTTTCTAATATAGCACTCAACTGACATTTCACATTCGAAACGTGCCTAATGCAACTGAAAATTTCAATTTTATTCATTTTTAATTAATTTAAATTTTAAAACTGACCTTCAGTGTAATTATGGGGAAACTTGTAAGTACATTGGGAACAGCATGGATATGTGAATCTACATTTTAAACTATGAACTGCAAAATCTGAATACAGATTAAGTATTTCTGATAGAAGTTTAGCAACAGTTAAGACATGCTATAAGTGTGAAATACATGCTATATTTCAAAGACTTAGTATAAAAAATGTATTAATATATTTTACATTTGGGTGCATGTTAAAATGATATTTGAACAAACTATATTATGAAAATGAATTGTACCTGTTTCTTTCTTTCTTTTTAATATGACTACTAGAAAATTTTTAATTATTCATGTAGCTCTGACTATATCTTGATTGGACCAATTCTGCCTTAGCGTTTTGGATTTGGAAGGTATCCTAGAGATAATCCAGCCCAGGACACTCATTTTGTATAAGAAAAGTCTAAGGCCCAGAGAAACTGCTTTATCCATAAAAGCCCATAATGGTGGAGCCTCCAGGCTTCGTCAAAGGCTTGATACTAGTCACAGGATCTGCTTTATGTCACTGAACTGACTTTAACAAAGGAGCCTAAAAAGAAGAAAATCTTTTTCTTTCCTTCTTCCTTTCCTTCTTTTTTTTTTTTTAATTTTTATTTATTTACTCATGAGAGACAAAGAAAGAGGCAGAAACATAAGCAGAAGGAGACACAGGCTCCTTGTGGGAAGCCTGATACAGGACTCGATCCCAGGACCCCAGGAACATGACCTGAGCCAAAGGCAGACACTCAACCACTGAGCCACCCAGGCATCCCAGAAGAAAATATTTCCAGATCAAATTTTTATAAATAATACATTGGAATCTGATTTAAAAAAATCCTTCTCAAATTCCTAATTTTATTCTATCCAATATGTATAATATTAATAAAATCATAATGGCCAATTTTACTTTAAAGTTCATTTAAGGGGACGAGATCAGACTCAGGATCCAGTCCCGCATCGGGCTCCCTTCATGGAGCCTGTGTCTCACTCTGCCTGTGTCTCTGCCTCTCTCTCTCTCTCTCTGTGTCTCTCATGAATGAATAAATAATCTTTTTAAAAAAATCAAGTTAATTTAGGATATCCTTTAAACAATGGAATGCAATGATACCTGAAGTTTTTTTTTTTAAATCTTTTAACTGAAACACCTAGAAATACAAAATACCTGTCACTGTTTATAGAATCAGTTTTTACCACAAAGGAGTTTTCTTTTTAAAGAGTTTTATTTTATTACTAAATTTATTATAAAAGGAAAGAAAAAAGTAAGATGTCTCACTTTGCACAAATAATATTATAAATTGTTCTCCAACCCTCATCTGGCCTTGGCCTCAGCAGCCCTCTGTGCTGAGCAGAGATTGGCGCACTTGCATAATGAACCTGAGGTCAAGTTCAAGTTGACAGGAAAATTATAGTGCAGAAGCTGAATGCTTCCAATGCATATTTTATGCCTTTTGAAGTAAAAATTATGTCTTATAATAAACGGCATCTCTGAAGAGTTGGGTATGATGAGCAAATCTTCAAAATTGAGATTTCAAGACTAGAAATGCAATGGTTTGCCTTCCCCAACGTGGTGGTGTCTGGCTTCTTTCTGAAATCATTATATTCAAATGTGCTTAAGGTAAGGTAAGCCAGGAACCTATTTTTTAATGTCCTTTATGAGTTTCATAATGCGGTAAATAGCACCTTCGTCTCATTGCTGTTTCGCCCCCTCCCTTTGTCACTTCCACTTCTCCTTCGTGCTCAGAACTGCTCTAACGTTTCTGCAAAGGACCTGCAGCAGCAGCTGGACATCCTTGAGGGGGACAGCATGAGCGGGCGTGCCAAGGCCGAGGAGTACGAACGGACCCTGGCCTGCAGCCTGGAGTACTGCACCACGAGGGACAGTATAAACGAGGTGGGGTGACAGGGCAGACGGCCCCAAACCGCTCTGAACCCAACACATGTGTCTCTCTGTCTGGACGTGTGCACACAGGAGCAGGAGACATTTTGTTTGACCTTGACCTTTAATCCACTAAGCAATGGTCTCAGGGCTCTGAAAGTTTGAGTAAACCCCAAGCACCCAAGCCAGTATGTTGTCAATGCATAGAAAAACCTAGAATGCACTATTATGGTTGTCTGTTTGCTTTCTTTCCCCCAACTCAAGGCTGTACAGCAGTTGCTTGCTCAAGCAGGTATAGCCTATCTGGACAGAAAGGGTGATGCTGTCCCCATGAAGCCAGCTCCAACCTGCTGAGATTCTATTTAAGTACCATTGACTCATGGTGAAGGGGGTGCCAAGGGCCAGGGGAGAAGGCTCATTGCTTCCGAGGCTGCAAAGTATCATCACCAAAGTCAAGTGGCTGGTTTCATATTTACTCAAATGGAGTGGCTTACTGACAAGACAACTTCTGGAGGAAAAGCAATAACAGATGAAAGTCCTCCTCTGCACCCATGCACACCCTCACAAACACATGCTCCCACCCCCCTCCCTCAATTCCACCCAAACATCAACGCCCAAATGTGTCGTGAGCCCCTATAGCCTTCCCCTAAACTTTCCATTTAAATAAACTTCTTTTGGGGTGAGAACACAGATCAGGATAGCAAAACATAGACCCTGGTTTTGAGAATTGACAAGCACAATACAAAGTACTGCAGTTTCGGACTTGTCTCCATTTAGAGCAAAATGTTTCTGAGTCCATCAGTCACAAGTCCGTTACAAAGGCGGCTGGAAGTGATAAACCTTCTCGAACGTTCTGTTTATGCCCAATGTACACAATCTGGGCCCGGCAAGTATCAAATATTCAGACAACATTAGCTCCCAGATTAACATGTGAGTAACTAGACTGGGGTGGTGGTCCAGCTGTGCAGTGCTCCTTCCTGCAGGCCGCACGTCCCCAGACTACAGGCAGGTGCAGAGAGTGAGCAGGAGAGGGGCAGAGAGCACGAGAGGCCACACAGGCCCCAAGGCCTACAGCCACGGACTACAGACTTGCCACTCAGACTCTGTGTTGCAGGGAGACGTTCTGGGCTAGAGATTCATTCGGGGTTCAACCCGGAGTGTACCTACCCTCTGTGGCCTCTTCTGGTTTCAGCTAACACCACACATTCACATCTTGTTAGAGAAAACGTCATTCTCCCCAAGTCTGCAACATGTAGATTTGCAGGCTTGCAAATAATTTTTTTACGACCTTTCCCCCCAAATTTACCTTCTTGCTTCCCTTCCTCCTCGTCCTTCTACCCTTTCCTCAACCCCTCCCCTTCCTCCTTGTCTTCTTCCTTCTTCATCTTCTTCTTCGGTAAACTTTTGTTTTGCCAAAGATCTCTCCCCCTGCAGGGATGTGCAGCTGTACACTAACCAAAACCACAAGTGGAGGAGGCTCAGGGTTCTTCCCAACAGCCCCAGGGCTCAGTTTCCCTCTTCCTGAAGTGCTGTGGCATTTATGGAGCTGTTCAGACCCTTCCCACAGTGGTTCTATTTACAGGCTGCCTCGTGAGAGCCTCTGCTGGGAGCCAGCCAGCTGGGATGACAGATGTCCCCTGTAGTCACAGTAGGGACGCCCCAGGATTGTCTGTACCACAATGAGCAAGCAGATACATGGAGGAATCAGATATCACTTTAACATAATCTTAAACATTAAGAGAACTGGTCTTCCGCATTTCTTTCCACTTCCTATCCAGCTAATCTTCGGTGTGGGTTATAATTTCACATTTAAAGGATCTCTGAAAATCTTTGGTCCTTTTCTCCTTTCCTTCTTGTAGAATAATAGTAGGCATGTCACAGTGTAGCGCCCACACCCTGGACTTTCCAACTACAAGCCTAGTGGAAAAATAATCAGAAGGAATATTTTTAGTGCACTTTAGTAAAATAAATATACATACACTCTAGTTTGTATTGTGAATATCAGACTCCAGATGAGTAGATTCCAAGTGGTGATATAATATTTATACACCTAGACGTTTTTATTATATTATCATTATTAATACTTGGTGTAGGTACTTAAGACATTACAAAACATTAAAACAGCATGTCACACTACTTTTTTGTGTTAAAAAAATAAATTCACCCTACCAGGGAACGAGAGCAAATATCGCATTTTACTTTTAAAGTTGATTTGAAAACATGTTTCGCTTCTAATATTCTTCAAGTGCTTCTTGAACGTTCACAAACTCTGAGTTAAAATAGATTTGGGGAGATCTCAATGTCAACACATCTTACTTTTTAAGAGGAGAAAACTGAGGTGAGGATTTGCATTTGAGCAGTGTGCCCCCACCCTGCAGAGTTTCTGTTCGTGGTATGTTGAGGATGAGTTTCTTTGGGCCAGAAGCTCATCTCTTGGTCATCATTTCTCGGACAGCAACACATTGTTGCTTGCTAAACTCAGAGTTCCCCACTTACTCACCGCTTTAGCCCACTCAACCACTGCATGATCTGATGTGCCGTGGACGCTTTATATGTGCTTTCCTCGTCTAGCCTTGTTTCCTTGCACATCCTTACAAGCTATTTGTTTACAATAGCACAATTCATTTGGTCATTTCAACCAAAATTACTTTTTGATGATGCCCTAACTAATTTATGTGGTTACAACTGCACTAAAAGCCCCTAGTGGAGGCCTCGGTACCTCAAAGCAAAATAAAGTGAGGTGCTCTAAATGTGATCTTTTTTCTTTTTTTTACATGATGTGATATTTTTTAAACAAAAGAACCATGGTTCTGTGCCTTGATTATCTTTTGGTAAAATATTATTATTTTCTCATTTCATACACTACACAAAACAGAAGAAATTGGTTAAATCTCATTTTTTCCATGTCTATCTTCACAACCTTCAGACTGCCCAGATTTTGTGGAGTTTTTTTTTTTCCACTCATTTCACACAAAAATATATTTGTATGCATGGATGTTGAATTTCACTATATATGTTCTTGCCTGGCAACATAAGTAAGCTGTTAATACACAAAGTGCATTATAGACATTCTCGGTGATAATACGTGACAAGCCATCATTTATTACTCATTCTGTTACATGTCTTCGTTTAGAAACATAGTAAGTTAATATGAAGCATGTTTCCTGTCTGCAACCTGACCAAAAAAATTACTTTTACATTTACATAATGTTTTTTTTGTTTGTTTGTTTTTGTTTTTTTTACGATAGTCATACAGAGAGAGAGAGAGGCAGAGACACAGGCAGAGGGAGAAGCAGGCTCCATGCACTGGGAGCCTGACGTGGGATTCGATCCCGGGTCTCCAGGATCGCGCCCTGGGCCAAAGGCAGGCACCAAACCGCTGCGCCACCCAGGGATCCCAACATTTACATAATGTTAATGGAAATTTGTAACTGGAGTCTCATTATGGGTCACAATTACTTTGCTGGAAAAAAAATAGCAATAACAGAACTGGGTTGGGATCCATTCTCTCAAAATAAGTCTTGCAAACAAGCTTTCTTATAATTATATTACTTTAGCTTGAAATTTTTGCACTGTAGCAACATCTTACCCATCAGGAAGGAAGTGGAAAAAGACGCAGTGTATATATAGGTATATTCCATATGTCAGAGTCTCCTGTTCCAATTACACATTTTTTTTTGGTCAATTTGGATAAATCGGTCATCTGAGTTCCAGGGATTAAAAGGAGATTAGAAGCAGTAAATTAGAATAGGGGAAGAGACACAGAGCCAACTAATAAAATCAAACTTCCTGACATCACATAGCACTTTGTTATTGACAAAATGACCATGGAGAGTCACCCGCTGGCAGGATAAGAAGCAGCAAAAGAGAGCACGGCCGGATATAGCACGCAGTGGGGCATCACTGTGGTGTAGTGCAGAGAATTATTATTTTCTAGATTGATAACCCTAATTCGTCATTTTAAGGAAAAAAACAAGCTATCATCATTTGACACATATCACCAATGTGGCTATTGTATACTGGACCATAAGAATACAAAAGTCCTGAGGAAACATGGAGTCCAGAGTGAATTAAAGCCCATGGAATTTAAGTCATGGCCAGTCATGACCAGGCCATACCATGGGTCCATTGAAAGGATATATATAAGAGAATAGAAATTTGTTCTGAAAATGTCCATCCCAGAGGCTTAAAATGTGTTAAAAGTTTAGTGTTTCACATCTGCAAAGTGACCCTTTTTCCTGAAGGATATAGAGAGCTGAAGTTTAAAATCATGGTTACCATGTCCAGAAAATACCACAAACATAATATGAACACACAGAACTTGCAGGATGGAGAAAAGAGCCATTCCTGAGACACACTGCCATCTCCAATGTCAAATGGAGCAACCGTCTTCTCTCTCCAGGCTGTCTCACTTGTGCCACCGCAGGGCTGGCCTGGAGCACAGGAGGACAGCAGCAAAGGGAAGCCAAGGGGGCCTTGTCTTGAAATCTCTCCAAGCCTTAAGCTTAATAGTTTGTCCGTAATAATCATAGCAAATCATTCAGGTTGAATTATAAATCTTTGGGTCCTTTCATTTCAAATGCAGGCATCCCTGGAAGTTGGTAACTGTGAAGCCTTCCATTGCTGAAAATGAGCATTGGAAGCTTTTTTCCTGGAGTGGGCAAAAGGATGGGCAAGAAATGAAACTCATGAAGGGAACGTTAAGAGAAATGGACTATTTGTTTTGTATTTTGCTTCTGGCCAAACCTGTGCCATAGTTCCAATGAAGGCTTTATTTTTTATTTTTAATTATTTTTTAATTGGCTCCATGCCCAACGTGGAGCCTAACGTGGGGCTTGACCTCACGACCCTGAATCAAAACCTTAGCCAAGATCAGGAGTCCGATGCTTAACCAACTGAGCCACCCAGGGGGCCCCAAAAGGCTTTTGTTTTTAATGCATTTCCTTAGTTTTAAAATGTCCCATGTCCCTCACATAAATTGGCCTTGTCAACCAACAACAAACTCACAATAATACATTCTTATGCCAAACCAGCCCCAACCAGCTTAGTCAAGACTAAGAATAACAATCCAGCCTGGTCGTCATCAGCCTCTTTTGCTTTCTGCATCTTCTCAAAGCTTTGTTTATTCCTAACCCTGAGAGAAGCTTACTGCTCCCTGGGAAATATGGTGAAGATGTTCATTCTGTTAGTTGCAAGAGAACTACAATTGTAAAGTCTTAATTTTATTCCTAATCATAGCTCTATTAACTTAATTCCATAACAAATATGGAGGAGCTGACCAAGTGGAAAGATAGGAAAATCACACCATTTGTTAGGAAAAAAAAATTTCTCTTAGTATTTTAAAGATTTTTAGAATTTTTATTAATATGGATTATAACAACATTTAAATTTTTTTAATAGGGTAAAATACCCTGCCCCAGCTTTGGGTGTTTTTTTCTGCCTGAGTGCTCCAATTGAGCAGTTGTCTTGGCCATTTTCACCATTCCCCATTGTTGACAAGCTAACTAAAGTTAGAAACAGCTGCAGGAACAATGATCCCATAGCCAAGCAAACATGGCACTCAGTTCCTTTAAAAATATGATCTCAAGTTATATGGGGATTAGATGGGAAGTTAAGTTTTCATGTTGGAATGTGCAGGTAAGAAATTTAAGCACAGTTAGATTTTCCTGAAAATCTACTTGTTAAACGTACTTCGTTCATGCTGCCTTCCACTTGTATCTGCAATAGTCTTAAATTTGAGCTGGGATAGGCACAAGATTTAAAATAAATTTTTGTAGGACCAAGAGAGAAAAGTGCCAGCAACTTTGTCAAAGGAGCTCATGTGTCAGAAAGAAGCTGATTCCATTTCACATACCCATAGCGCCATGAATACTCTTTGGTCTTATAAATCATCTTCAGTGGAAGTGCATACATTCTGAAGCAACAGAAATAAAATTGTGCTCATCATTTATCAGTCTTAAATTTTTTTGATCCAAAGTAGATTTAAAATTTCATGGTTTAGAATTACAATATTAAGACTCAGCCTTTCTCCCTTCATCACACAGTTTTCAAACAGAAGTTGATCTTTCCCATTTAAACTAGCAGACATAACCCAGTGATTATCAGATTGATGATAGAGCCCCTCTTCCTTTCTCTAGACTGAAGTTTATAATATAGATCATGTTCCAGTAAGAGAAAAAAGAGTATAAAATTTTATTTTCCAATGATAGATATTAGTGAGTGACAGGACATATATTTTCCCTTTTCTTTTTTCTTTTATTCTGTTTATTTTTATTTAAAATAAAAATTATATTTTTAATTGCGGTAAAATACAAATAAAATTCACCACCTTAACCATCTTAAGGGTAAATGATATTAAGTACTTTCACATTGCTCTATCCATTTCTAGAACTTTTTAATCATCCCAAACAGAAACTCTGTACCAGTTAAGCAGTAACTCTCTACTGGGGACATGTTTTTTAATACAAGAATCTGTATATACCTATAGTTGCAGGTTATGACTTTGGGGAGAAGAGTTCCTGCCAAAGTTTAATGTGAATAACTCAGGATGTAGTCCATTTATTTATTTATTTATTTATTTATTTATTTATTTATTAAGATTTCATTTATTAATGAGATACAGAGAAAGAGGCAGAGATAGAGGCAGAGGGAGAAGCAGGCTCCCTGCAGGGAGCCAGATGGAGGACTCGATCCCAGGACACCGGGATCATGCCCAGAGATGAAGGCAGACTCTCAACCACTGAGCCACCCAGGTGTCCTGGATATAGTCCCTTTATTTCTCAATCCCATTTGTCTTTTCTCACTAAAATCGAAGACGTGTATTAAAACACTGAATTTCAAAGAATTTAAATATTTTAGATTTAATTTAGTATTTTTAAATATTTAAAATTTAAATTTAATATTAATTGGTTATTTCATAAGTGTGCCAGCCGATTACAATCTTCTCAAATATTTTTGTGAGTTCTAATAGCGAAATAGTTTCCACCTCTCCAGAATGTTACTGATTTATCAATTTAAATGTTTAATATGATCTCTGTGGTTGGCTTAATTGGTAATTTAAACTAGTATTCAACAATTTCATTTACCATATAAAATAAACAACACTGATTAAGTATAGGTATGTCAGAGGAAAAAATTGAATCTGCATAATAATTTCCATATATGCAAGTCTGCTTGGGCCTTTATAGATAATTATCTCCAAGAAATGTTACAGATAAGGTCAAGGTTCTGTTATTACAATATGCAGAATTTGAAATAAGCATTTTGAGAAAGCAAATATTTTTAGGGCAGATATGTTTTCTATGTATTACAAGGCTAAAACCTAGCATGTACACAGCTTTTATTTCCTTCCAAATAATTTATTTGCTGTCATTGAAAAGAATTTTAATGTGTCTCTGACTTTTCTTATCATAGCTCAAATTTATCAACCATGACATTGTTCATGTTTTTGCTGTTAAATGCTTCCATATAATCTGAGAAGGTTTATGTTTTTCTTTATATTTCTCTTTACTGATAATGTAAAGAGAGAGTTGCCTGTCAATATGTTTATCTCTCTCGAATATGGAAAAGGGCATGAAAGGTGGGGTGTTTAATGGAACTGGACTGCTTAGAACTTTGGTTCACTGGTAAAGTTGAACTGTGTGTTCTTAAGGCGAGCTTAATGCATGCCCTACTCTCAGTTCATTGCCATAGGCTCTGTTTATACACAAGCTAGCATTGCCATCAGTGGTGATGCTGTCACTTTATTTTCCATCTTGGAAGGACATCTGAAGTTAGTGGCCTATATCTAAGAAGGAAAGATCTTCAGGAAACTTCTAATGAAAAATAATTCTTTGGCTGAATTTGGGCAAATAAAATATTTTTGCTACTAAATCTCATATTGGGTCCCCTCTTTTATCCTACTTATGTTCTCGGTGGTCTGAATGTCAACTCTTTATTGACCTCTGCAACAGGATCAGCTCATTGGAGCCTAATACATTCATGCCTTGATGCTAGAAGAAAGCCCCAGGAGGCAGAAGGATCTGGGGCAAGTGCTAGCATACGGAGAACAGAATGCATGGGAAACGCGATGTCAAATAAATACAAATAAAAAAATTAGAGTTGTTGAGAATCTATGACATGTTAAAAACTTGCTTTTTTGGAGGCCAAAGGATATTTCATATTTATAAATCTAATTGTAAATTACAAATAAAGGGTCACCTGGGTGGCTCAGTAGGTTAAGCATCTGACTCCTGATTTTTGGCTCAGGTCATGATCTCAGCGCCGTGAGATGGAGCCCTGCTTCAGACTGCACACTGGGTGTGGAGCTGCTTAAGATGCTCTCTCTCCCTCTCCCTCTGCCCCTCTCTCGCCACTTCTCAAAAAAATTACAAATCAAATAATACAAAGAACATCTTAGATTTTGGGGATATATTTAAATTCACATTATGTGTTTACTTAGCCGACTTGTTTCCTATTGAAAAATCACTGAATACATTTTGAAGATTATAAATATTTTGAAGTGTTAAGATTTTTTTATTTATTACAAGTCAGTGTCAGTGTCCTCATTTTAAGGAAATCATGTTTCTTTTTATTGAACTGCAGCTCAAAGAGTCATTCAAAGATATCAAAAAGAAATTCAACAATTTAAAATTTAATTACACTAAGAAAAATGAAAAAGCTCGGAATCTAAAGGCTCTTAAGAATCAAATTCAACAAGTCGATGCTCATGCTGAAAAGATACAGGTAAAGAGAAAATGTGAGTGGTGTGTTTGTGTGTGCATGTCTGTGTGTATGCGTGTACATACACTACTACAATTATTGCAAAGTCTTCTGCGTTTCAATTCTAGAAGCCTAACCCTTGGGCTTTTTTGCAGCATTGGGACTCAGAAGGTGGTTTTCCACTTTTGTAGCAGTTAAGTTCCTTGCATAAAATGTATACGTTAATTTATCTCGAGGCAGCTCTAGGATGGATCCTACCAAACCTACCCAGCCTCTCTGCTTCCATTCTTCCCCACCACACACATATACACACACATGCATGCACGCACATCCATGTACACACCTCTATATACCCCTTTTCCTCTGCTTGCACCTGCCTCTGTCAGGAACTTCCTCCACTACTCCCGGAACTTCTTGTTCTACCTTGATTACCGCATATACCAGCTAGAATCTTTGAATACCTTTCCCAGGAGACAATGAGCTCCCTGAAGATAGTAAAATATTTTATGATCAATGTCTTTTTAAAAAAAAATCATAATATAATTCTTGAAATCTGGAATAGGACCTGGTACACAGTGAATTTTCTATATGATTTTGATGCTGCATCAATAAACTATGTGGAAGAAAACCCATTCTTTCCAAAATGCATTTGTGATCATTATGATTTTAATATATTATCATGGAGAAAGCTGCAAAAACTTCCCCAAGTTTTTCTCTCAATATGTAATCACCAGCTAGCCTCATAAATAAAAATGGGAAGTTATTTTAAAACTGTTTCTTTTTGGGATCCCTGGGTGGCGCAGCGGTTTGGCGCCTGCCTTTGGCCCAGGGCGCGATCCTGGAGACCCGGGATCGAGTCCCACGTCGGGCTCCCGGTGCATGGAGCCTGCTTCTCCCTCTGCCTATGTCTCTTCCTCTCTCTCTCTCACTGTGTGCCTATCATAAATAAATTAAAAAAAAAAAGTCCTTTAAAAAAAAAAAACAAAAAAAACTGTTTCTTTTTTGCACAGGCTTTGAAAAGGAAAATGGAAAAAATTGAAAAGAAGACTTCTAATTCTTTCTTAAATTATCCAAATAATAAAGTTAATGTTCTTTTGGAAGCCATGAAGGATTTGCAAAAACATGTGGATGAGTTTAACAAAGTTGTGATGGATTATAAGTTGAATTTGGACCTGACTGAACATCTCCAGGAGACGATTGAAGAGGTATCCTCTTCTTGCTGTAATGGTATCCATATGTAATGCTTTTAAAAATTGCTCTGCTACCCTAAAACAATGCTGCAGCAGTTAATTTTGTCATTAAATCTATGCATCATCATCCTCTTCATGATTATTTCCTTAGGGTGATTTCTTAAAATAGAATTGTTAGACTAAAGTGGATAAATGTTGCAAGGTTTGATTGTATTGTCCAGTTGTTCTTCAGAAAGATTTTACTAATTTACTTTTACCAACAACGTATAAGGGTTTCTCGTTTCTCCATGACTCCATCAACTCAGGATGTTTCACTATCACGGAATTATGCTTACTGCTGGCTATCCTTTTAAAATATTCAAAATGATTTATTTCACAAAATTTGAAAATATTTAGGAAGAAACCTTAATACTGGGATTTGTCAGGTACAAAAATTGTTAGTGGTGTTATTTTTGTTTCTGTCAAGAGGATAAATGGCAGAGTATGCATGAACTATATGAAATTGGACAAGTTAAAGTTATTATTTGCACATTTCATATTGAAGAAATTCCACACTTGAAGTTCTTTGCAGCCTATTATCCTGCGATACAAAATGTCTCTCTTTACCACTGATGCAGCAGCTTTTAGATGTAACACCACACTAAGGAAGATGAGGATGATCATTCTTCTATATCTGATACATAGGTTTGCTGTGGCTCCGTGGCACTTATTTAAAGCCGGCTCCTAACAGAGTCATGTGTTTCTATTTCTCACTCATCATAACTGCTCTGGCCTTGGTCAGACACATTCCTTCCATCACAGTTACTTAGTATTTTTTGGTGAGAAACTGTCTCAATTCTCTATTGTGCTTTTCAAATATTGAGTACAATATTCGAAAATATAGACTTGAGTACCTTCTATTTTAAAAAAAATGGTTAAATACTGTTCTTTAGATAATACTTCCTCAATCCATAGACTACATCTCGTTCTTAAAAGAGAATTTATTTATTTATTAGAGTGTTAATTAGGCAGTGCTTTATCCATGCCTTGTTAATAATTTCAGTTAATTTGCTTGATTTTGCACATTTGGGCTTTTTCTCTTTTCTTTTAGCTGATAATTTGAATTCTTCTTAGGGTCATATGCTTTTTTATATTGCCTGTTCTTATAAGTCTGCAATGTTCTTAGGAAGTATATTTCAGGCAAATCTAAGAAGGCAGGAAAAGCAAATGAATTTCCATACCTTTATTTTCTTATCTAACTCTAATACCTTAGTGCAGAAGCATATGATCATATTTTGATATTTTCCTTATTATGACTTAGAAAGTTCAAACTAACATGATTATAAAGTTGGAGGAAATTGAAATGTGATCCTTCAGTGGTCAAGATGAAGAACTTTAGAAGGATGGCATCTCTTTAATCTGTGCTTTATCCCATTTTAATTTAGTGTCATTTTTGGTATGAAGACGCAAGTGCCACAGTTATAAGAGTTGGAAAATATTCCACAGAGTGCAAGACAAAGGAAGCTGTGGAAATTCTCCACCAGCAGTTCAATAAGTATATCATGCCCTCAGTGCCTCAGCAAGAAGAAAGGATTCAGGAGATCAGTGACCTAGCTCAGCGCTTATACGGTGAGGTCTCTTTTAAAATATCCAGCGTTTGCCATCGAACAAATCTGTAGCGAACCTAACCCAGCAGAAAGCAGAGCAAGGCAAGCCCTCAGGGTCTTCACTACAGCAATTATTCAGGCAAGAGACTCAAGATAAGAGCCCGTATCTACAAAAGTAAACAGTAGGGAATAGAGGAAGGAGCTTCTGCCTGCAGGAGAAGAAGCCTTTGGATTTTAACTATCTTGTGTAAACCCTCCTTCTCTATTCTCTTTTCTCCCCTATTCCTGTTGATCATCCCCAGGGTAAGAAAACCACAACAATGCTCTGCTTCCGTAGATTAAAAAAAAAAAAAAACAAACAAACTCATCTCCACTAGGGTGATTTCTTGAAAAAACATGCAAAACTCCTCATAACACTTTAACGAGGTATAAAGCTGAGACTGAAGTCTGCAGTGCTCATATTTCCATGAGGGGTGTAGTTTGTGGATTTAAGAAACAGCTGGTTTGGCTTGTAGATTTAAGAAATGATTCCCTTGCCTTCCTCTCATTTGTGGGATAAACAGGAGAACTCAAATTATCATCTCACTGGTTCTGCTTTTCTCTTCTCCAGGACCAGGAAAGATAAAACAGTTTTCTGTCTCAGGAGTCTTTCTATCTAAAGGAGGCCCTAATTTAAGAAGCCCTCTGGGCGATGACAGTCCTTGGGGGTGCTGAGGTACAAGTTTCATGAATCCCCTGATGCTGTTGCTGTAGACAGGGGTAGTTCCCAGTGGCCAGGCAAATCTAGCCCAGAAGGCAGATAGCAAAATGCTTCAGCTGGCTGCCCACATTGTGGCCAGGTGGGTATTTTCTCAAGTGACATAGAACGCTATCCACGGATAACCGTAAAAATGCATAGAACCATATGTACTGTAATATAGAGAACAAATTATTTCCAATATCATTATATATTATTTCAGGACATGGTAATACTCACAAAGACCCGATACTAGTTAAATACCCCTCCCATCACGCATATCCTGCATCCTGCCTTGCCTGTGTTCCTGGCCCTTGTCACCAATAGACAGATGGATAGTATAGCTATTTGTTTATTGTCTGGCTTTTGCACCAGAGTGTAAGTTCCATGAGAGAAGGGATTTTGCCTCATAGTTTCCTGCTTCATGGTACATACTAGGTGCTTCACAAATATTTGATGAATAAATGAATCATCTATTATGAGTACCTATATATAAATGAGTACCTATTATGTCCAAGATAATATGATTGATATAAAGACAAATAAAACTCAGTTTCTTGGGGATCCCTGGGTAGCGCAGTGGTTTGGCGCCTGCCTTTGGCCCAGGGCGCGATCCTGGCGACCCGGGATCGAATCCCACGTCGGGCTCCTGATGCATGGAGCCTGCTCTCCCTCTGCCTGTGTCTCTGCCTCTCTCTCTCTCTCTCTCTCTCTCTCTCTCTCTCTCTCTCTCTCTGACTATCATAAAAAAAAATTTAAAAAAAAACTTAGTTTCTTCATATAAGAATCCACTGCCTACGCCTGGACGTCGGTAAATGCAGTGAGAAAGGTGATATGAAAAGTGTGCATTGGTTCATGAGGGTTAGCATCACAAAACACCACAGCCTGGGGGAGCAGTTTGTTTCCTCACAGTTCTGGAGGCTGGAAGTCCAGGATCACAAGACCACAGCGCTGCCCGGTTGGTGTCACCTGCAGCTCTTCTCCTCGGCTGGCAGCTGGCTGCCTTCTCGCTGCCCTTTCACATGGGCTTCCCTCTGTGCCCACCCTTCTCCTGGGTCGCTCCCTCATCTTACACGGTGGGATCATCATCCTGGATTAGGGTCCCAGCTTGATGGCCTCATTTTAACTTAATCACCTCTTTTGAGATCTTATCTCCAAATGTAGCAACAATCTGAGATTCGGGGCAATCAGGCTTCAACATAGGAGAATTCTGGAGGAGACACAATTCAGGCTGTCCCAGAGTGAAAAGGTTTAGTCTAAACCTCAGAGTCTGTAATCCCGGTTTCAAATCCCTGCTTCTGCAATTATTCTCTCGGTAACCTGAAGAGGCTCGTTGGGCCTCAGTTTCCTCATTTGTAAAATGCAATAATAGAGCCTTGAAAATCCGAGGAGAATTATATTAATGCTTATCCATAAAGTGCTTATCCATAGTCACATAGTAAGCACTCACTACGTGGTAGCAATTTTTATTATTATTCCAGCAGAGAGAGAGAGTAAATTTAGGTGGGGGATGATTAAGAACACTTGACGGAAGATATCGGTATTTGAAGTAGACAGCAGGGAGGGGGCCAAGGGCACTCCTGGTGTAGGAACTCCTACACTCCACTCTGGCTGTGGGGAGGAGTTGCTGGTTCACTTCGACCGGAGACTAAATATATAAAGGAACTAGGGTGACATACATTCGGGAGAAGATCCTTGAGACCGTTTTAGGGAGGGCTTCAAATGCCGGATTGAACAATGACAATGTTCTGAGCAGAAGAAAACGGATTAGAGTGGAACTTTAAGAATATTAACACAGCAGTATGATTTAGGTTACATAAAAGTGACAAGGTTCAGCAAATGTAATCATTTTTCCGAGGTGCCTGGTTTGATTTTTTTATTTTTGTTTTTGTTTCAAAAAAATGCCTTCATTCATTTATCTATTCAACAAGTATTTATTAAGCACTTACTGTCTACCAGCTTTTACACCAGACACTGGGGAGGTGAATTAATGCCTGGGATTTTTTTTTTTTTCTGCTAAGGATTTCAGAAATAGTTTTTTGTCCCTTCTCCCCAGGTTTTGAAGAGGGACAGAAATATGCTGAGAAAATCATGGCAAAACACAAAGAAGTTCTTGAATCTATCACTGAATTATGTGTCTCTCTCACAGAGCTTGAAGAAAAGCTGAAGGTAATTTCTTCTTTCCAGAATATGTATTTTTTCAAGGGATATAAATAAAAACGTGTTGATAAGTGTCTTCTGGTGCAAAGATGTTCAAATAGAAATTCTCAAGGGACATAATGTGCACATTTGTTTCACAGCTTTCTAACATAATTATCTGGGTGTTTCTGATAATTAATTCTGCTTCTTTTCCATCACTGCAGAGAAAAATATTGCTGGGAAGGAGGGCTAAACACAATTAAGGTGTCTCATTTACATTTTCATGGATCACATCCTAAAGGATAAATGTGTGCCATTAAAATCAAAGTAAAGTCTGTATTAAGTAGCCTTATGTTTTCATTCCCAAATAATAAATGGAAGGTTTTCTTTTTTTTCCTTCCAAATCATGGCCCCAGAGAAAATAAAACTAAATCTTCTGGTATTGTATTCACTGAACATTTAGCTTCATGGAAGTATTAAACCAATCATTAGCATCTTTCATGAGATAAAAAGTTGATGAAATAAAGGATAGAGAGAAAATATGTTGATGTCTAATGCTTAGGCAAAATGCAGTTAAAAGACAGAAATACATACATTGTTTTGTCTGTATTTTGTGAAAACTAGTTTCATTAGTACTGTTTGAATGACTGGCTGAAAGAACTAGCTACTTAGGATGGAGAGAATGACTAGATAATTAAAACCATAGGCTTTAGAGTAAAACATAGCTGCTTAGGAATACCAGTTCTCCCAATTCTCCCAATTATTGGATTTTTAATTTGGGGTAAACTACTTCATGTCTTTGAGTCTCAGTTTCTTGATCTGTACAATAGAGTGAACAGGGGAAAGTAATCACAGAGTAACCCTGAGGATTAAATGTGAAGACACCCGTGATTATCATGATCATTGTTGATATTGAGACGTAAGGGTGCTCATGTAGTTCAGAGCAGAATTGTATTTCTAGCAACCATTTTCTTCTTTGTGAATTTCCATGTCATAAATTTGAGGACCCAGTCCATTCAGAGTAGTTTGCTAATTGAGGCAGTGACCAACCAAATTTCCTTTTTTTCCTTAAGACTAGATTTTCAACTTTTTTACTGTTTTATATAACACTGCAATGAACATCTTCATACATATTTTTTCCCTCTTGTGTTATTCCCTACACATAAACTCTCCAGAGCAGATTTGAGTAAATGAGTATGAAGTTGTTAATGTTTCTAATATATATAAGTTAAATTGCATTCCACAAACATTTTACAGTTTTAATGCCACCAGTGATGTATGAATGTGCCATATGTCATATTATCTTTTTATTATCTTTTTAAATAATGATCATTTCTTCTCCACTTCCACCCAGCCCTCTGAGGGTCTGTTTCTTCTCCTGACTTCCAATACATAGCTTGAAAATAGCTGCTTCCTCTGACTCTTTGCTCTTTATGATCTTTACAATAGCCCTTCCATTTCTGTTGTATATCTTCAAGTGAGATCCACTTAACAAAATTTACTCTTATCCATTTCTGCTTTTCACCTTCATGGCCATTCTTTCTGAAATTTCTTGTCATTCCCTCTGCCCACTTCCTTGTTCCCCATTCTTTTCACATCCCTTAGTCAGGATGGTACCCTCTTTTTCTCATTTTTCAACCCATCACTTGGGTTCCCTTTTTCACTAGTCAGGAGCCTCCGATTATATACTCTAGCTGGATTACCCTTCCTAAATACAACTGTATCATTTTTACACCCAAAGCACTTCACTACAAATTGTTCATTGCTTACCAAATGAAGTTGAAACTTTAGGCTTTCCAATGTTCTGAGGCTATCTTTCCAAATTAGTGTACTGCTTTATTCATTGTAGGTCCCTGTCTCACTGGTCTACTACCCCACGTTCCTGAGTTTTCTGCTTTTAAACTTTTATGTACATGACCTTCTCTCTCTGCTTATCTAAATGTTACCATCTCTCAAAGCCAAACCCAAATGCTGCCTCCTCTGCCAACTCCTTTGCAGGCTGTGTCCCTGCCTTTCTGATCCCCAGAGCACTTGTGTTCTTTCCTACTATAATGGTCACATATAACTACCATTACTACCCCAACCTGTCTACTTGGTTACACCTGAGGAAACCTTTGGCTCTGTTGAGTTTAGGGTCCCACACAACATTTAACACTGTGCTTTGCCTAAAGCAATTTCTCCAGAAAGAATTTTGGCATTTGTTGTAAAAACTCAAAGGATTGGTACAGAGAAGAAGAATCATTCAATAGCTCAAAAAGGTTTGATTTGGGTGCATATAAAAATGAGGAAGGGCCTCTCTGGCAAGAGATACGTGCATCAGCAAGGCTCTTACAAGTTACAGCCTGAACAAAAGCTTGTCAAAGAATGCTTACTAACACTTTACAGATGTTTGCATGAGAGCATAAATGTCTAGTTTTTATGTTTTTAAGGTTGATGCTTTGACTGTTTTGTAGAGGTTATTAAAAATAGGCCCAGAAATCCCTAGCGAGGCTGAAATAGTGATAATGATCCTTTCCATTTGTATAACAATTTGAGATTTACAAAGGCTTTTCATATATATTACTTCAGTGATTTCTAAATAACCTTGTGATGGTGGTGAGGCAAATGCTGTTTTCCTTACTTTATTTATTTATTTTAAAGATTTTATTTATTTATTCTAGAGAGAGACAAGGAAAGAGAGAGTGCACATGAGCGGGGCAGGAGGCAGGGGGGTGGGCAGAGGGAGAGAAGCACAGACTCCTCCGTGCTGAGTCCAGAGCCCAACACGGGGCTCCATCCCAAAACCCTGAGATCATGACCTGAGCTGAAACCAAGAATTGGATGCTTAACCAACTTAGTTACCCACATGCCTGATTTTCCTTGTTTTAGAGGTGAAGTTCAAAGAAGGTAAAATACTTTGCCTGGGGCCTCACCATCAGTAGTGGTGGGATCTAGAATTAAATGCAATTCAAAATCTAGCATTCTTTCCACAACTACCATTTTGAAATTAGATATCAAGTGTGTACTAAAGCAGATTAATTTATCCACTAACACCAACCAGATTAAGTTTTAGAGTTAGACTGAAAGCTGAATCTCTCCCTGAAATCTCTGAGTTCATATAGCATGTGGACTTTGAGGAGTGTGCTATTTCTTTAAGGCTTATCTAATGACCATGTCCTGGGTGGAAGAGAGAATGTTCTGGTGTGGTGTAATCAATCATCCTAAACTTGGTTTACCTGAGGCTCCTTTCACCTTCTCACCTTCAGTCTTCTCAGCCCTCAGAGGGGCTCCCCAGCAGCTTGCAAACCCTGTACTTCCATGACTAAAACAGCTCCATGAACCATAGGAGCAAAATATCATCACCCACATTAAGCATGGTTTTCACGTTTTGTTCTCATTTTTTTTTCTTTATCACACCCAGTGATATTTTCTTCCTCTCTTCACGAATCTCTCAAACATTTGCTTATGTAAATTCTTGGGATTTCCTCTTTGTTCTCCACCAAAATCTTCAGACATTTCTTCCTCATCACTGCTCCCGCAGACTCCCCTAATGGCTTAGACCGCCATGCACAATGATTCCTTTCTCTAGAGAGCATTCCTCTAGGTACATCCTACTGCACTAATGACTTTGTTCTGGCTGGGCCTTTGAACAACCAATTTTTATTGGCAATGAACTTTATCAAAAGAGCAAGGTAGATGGGGAACTGTGCACTTGACAAGATAATTTTGTAAATCACATCATGGGAGTAGTCAGTCTCTTGTGGAATACATTTGCTGAAAGGCTCCAAGTGGCCTAGGTTTTCTTTCAAGTAGTTCTTATGTAGCACCGTGCTTCCAACTTCCCTGGCCAAGCTCTCACTAAACATTGCTTTGTACAGCAAGGAGACATTTTAAAGACAAATGTGAATCAGGAAGATTTTCATGATGACTTCATCGACCTGCTGAAAGAACCAGCGAGAAATAAGCAGACACTATTCAATGAAGAAAGGAATAAGGTAAACAAAACTATGATTTCAACTATTCATTTCATTTTGAGGTTAGAGTCCTTGTTCATTGAAAAAAAAAGTGAATTAAAGCCTTCTTGTCTAGCTGAATCAAATCTTTCAATGTAAATGCAATGCGCACTGTACTTCCTTTCTACCCTTTACTTAGTCCTTCTTCTTCCACCTATGCTATTTCCCTTAGAGTTCCTCCTATTTAATAATGGGACCACAGCACTGCACAGTGGTATTTGGACAGCCATTCAGTCACCATACTGTTACCCCAAACCACTTCTATATCTCCCACCTTTAGCTGCCTTTGCCATTTTCCTTTTATAGTCAATCCCAACTTCAAGGTTGACTTCTCTCTATCATACCATCAAGTTGTGGTTCTGCTATTTTACACCAGCCACCAGAAAACCTTAATACATGAAATTATCTTGTGTCTTGTTCCCAGAAAGATGATATTTCCAGATATATATTAAAACATAGAATCCAACTGAAATATAAATGCTAAAGTAGAGAAATATTTAAAATCTGTATATTACAGATAAATTAAACTTGTAGCAAAAACTGCAAATATTCACAAAATGCAAATGTTTCATGACTTCAAAAGTGTTATTATATAGATTTTTGGTGTAAGTTGCTCACTCTCTATTCATAGCTGCCGGACTATAATTAGTTCCTATCTTTTTGCTTTGCCAAGTTTGCTTCCAATGTTTCTCTCTCTCCCAAGGAACTGAAGGAACAAAGAGTCAACGTTATTCTCAACTGCTCCCAAATTAATAAAGTATACTTCCTGTGACATGAGAATTTAAAATAAATATCTCTCCACTTGTAGTTATCTCATGGAGAAAGTTTTATCTTTCTTTGAAGTCAGTACAATTCTTAGATTTTCTATATAACCTTCTAAAACCTTTTCCACAGGCTAAATCTATGTCAAGGTCTACTACATATATACAGTCTCCAAGAAGCAAGTATCATTATGCAAATGGAATTTTTTGCTGCATGGTCTTGAAGCATTTAAACCCTGGTTCTATTCTGAGGCAAAGGAAAGCTGCCAAACTTTGATCACTTGTCTTAAATCAGATGGTCTTTTGTTACTATGATTGGTCTATCAGTGTTACTCAATCTCAGCACTATTGACACTTTAGCCCAGAGAATTCTTTGTTGTGGAGACCTGTCCTGTTTAGCAACATTCTTGGCCTCTATCAACTAGATGCTAGTGGCAGCCACCACCACCTTCTCCCCACCCCTCCCAGTTGTCACAACCAATGTCCACAGACATTGTCAAATGTTTCCTGGACAGCAAAATCACCCTTGATTGAGACCCACTACTTGAAATAGTAAAGAATAACATTAAATGCATCACATTTTCTTAACTAAGTTTCTAAGAGATACTTAATTCAACTTATTTTTAAAATTCTGCACATTTTCTACATTGTCAACCACACACATGTACTAAGAACTGAAGTGAAAATCATTGCTACCAAAGCAAACCACGATCATTTGTACTTAATAATATGGATTTTCTTGCTTTTATTTATTTCTCTTAAGAAAAAATTAGAGGAACAGATTCCTTTAACTATAAATGCAAAATTTATTTTCATTGAGAAATATACTTTATTTTAATATAAGTTAAAAGGTCATCTGTCATTTGGTATAAAACTGAAGGCTCCCTATTATAGCTGCCAAGAACTCTCAATGACATCATTTCACATATACATTCTGGTGTAGTTGGGCACAGAGAGCAAAATGAAAGGATGGCAGTAATCTTCCCTTTTAAACAGCTCAATCACATTTATCCTTTTATTGTCTCTATCATTTATATTATGGGTCATACGCAATGATTCTCAAAAAAACCATGTGAACAGATAACAAAAATCACCAAGTAAAAAAAAAAAAAGCTTAGTGGGGAATCACTGTGTCCAATTCTGATACCCCAAATGGTATTGATCATCCTTGGAAAGTTATTTGGCTCAAAAGAACAATTCTAGAAATGTGTGGTTGGAGGAAGATGGCAGCAGAATAGGAGGGCTCTAGGCTCCTCTGGTCCCATGAACACAACTAGATAACTATCAAATCGTCCTAAATACCCCAGAAACTGACCTGAAGACTTACTGAATAAACTCCACAACTAAAGGGAGAGAAGAGGCCGTATCAAAGAAGGTAGGAAGTATGAAGATGTGGTTTAGGGGAGAAGCAGATCACAGGTGCTGTGGAGGGCAAGTGGCTGTAGTTGCTGAGACGGGTGAGAGAGAGGAGCACACAGGAGAATGAACAAGGAGAACTTTTCCCCAAAAACCTTGGCTTAGAAAACAAAAGGGACTGTTTTATGGGATTGGAAACAGGCTTGCTGTAATGAACAGCAGGCTAGAAGAAGCAGAGGAATGAATTAGTGACCTAGAAGACAAAATACTGGAAAATAATGAAGCTGAACAAAAGAGAGAAAGAGAATTATGCAACACAAGAATAGATTTAGGGAACTCAATGACTCCATCAAACGTAGTAACATTCATATTCTAGGAATCCCAGAAGAAGAAAGAGAAAAGGGGCAAGAAAACATATTGGAAGAAATAATAGTGGGAGCCTAGATGGCTCAGTTAGTTAAGTGTCTGCCTTCAGCTCAGGTCATGATCCTAGGGTCCTGGGATCGAACCCTGCATCAGGCTCCCTACTCAGGGGGAGGCTGCTTCTCCCTCCCCTTCTGTTCCTCCTCCCACTTGTGCTCTCTCACTTTCAAGTAAATAAATTAAAAATCTTAAAAAAAAAAAAAAAGCTAAAAACTTCCCTAATCTGGGGAAGGAAACAGATATCCAGATCCAGGAAGCACAGAGAACTTCCATCAAAATCAACAAAAGCAGGCATATTGCCAACACCAAGACATATTGCCATTACATTTGCAAAATATAGCAATAAAGAAACAATCTTAAAAGCAGCTAAAGAAGTCCTTAACTTACAAGAGTAAATCCATAAGGCTAGTTAGAGATTTCTCAACAGAAAAATGGCAATTCAGAAGGGAGTGGCATGATATAGTCAACATGCAGAATGGGACAAAATCTGCAGCCAAGAATACTCTATCCAGCAAGGCTATCATTCAGACTAGAAGGAAAGATAGAGTTTCCCAAACAAAAACTAAAGGGATTCATGACCACTAAACCAGCCCTGTAAGAAACATTAAAGGGGACCTTTGAGTGCAAAGGAGAGACCAAAAATGACAAAGACAAGAAAGAATCAGAGAAAATCTCCAGAAATAATGACAAAACAAATAATAAAATGGCAATAAATACATATCTATCAATAATTACTTTGAATAAATGGGGTAAACCCTCCAGTCAAAACGCTTATGATGTCATAATGGATTTTTAAAAAAGACCCATTATATCCTGGCTACAAAAGACTCATTTTAGACCTAAAGACACCTGCAGGTTGAAGTGAAGGGATGGAGAAACATTTAGCATGCAAATGGATGTCAAAAGAAAGCCAGAGTATCAATACTTGTATCAGACAAACTAGACTTTAAAACAAAGACTGTAGCAATAGACAAAGAAGGGCATGATGTAATCATAAAGGGGACAATCCAACAAGAAGGTATAACAATTGTAACAATTTATGCATCCAACATGGGAACACCCAAATATATAAAGCAATTAAAAATGAATATAAAGAAATTATATTGATAATTTGATAATAATACAAGAAAAGCAATATAGGACTACCTCAAGAAGCAAGAAAAATCTCGAATAAACAGCCTAACCTTAAAGGAGCTAGAAAAAAAAAAAAAAGAACAACAAATGAGGCCTAAATCCAGCAGAAGGAAGGAAATAATAAAGATTAGAGCAGAAACAGATGATACAGAAACTAAAAAACCAAACCAAAACAAAAGAACAGATCAATGAAACCAGGAGCTGATTCTTTGAAAAACTAATGAAAAATTAATAACATAACTTGGTAAGTATAGCCAGACTCACCAAAAAGAAGAGAAAGGACTCAAATAAAATCACAAGTGAGACAGGAAAAATAACAACTGACACCATAGAAGTATAATAGATTATTATGAAAAACTATATGATTACAAACTGGACAACCTAGAGGAGATGGATAAATTCCTAGAAACATATGAATTACCAAGACTGAAACAGGAAGAAGTAGCAAACTTTAACAGACTGATAACAAGCAAAGAAATGGAATCAGTAACCAAAAAACTCCCAACAAACAAAAGTCCAGTGCCAGATGGCTTCACACGCAAATTCTATCAAACATTTAAAGAAGAGTTAATACCTATTCTACTCAAACTATTACAAAAAATAGAAAATGAAGGAAAACTTCTTAATTCTTCTTAATTAAAACTTCTTAATTCGTCCTATGGGGCCAGCATTACCCTGATACCAAAACCAGTTAAAGACTCCACCAAAAAAGAGAACTACAGGCCAATGTCCCTGATGAACATGGATGCAAAAAAATCTCAGTAAAATAGAAGAAACCCAATCCAACAATGCATAAAAAAAAAAAAATCATTCACCATGATCAAGTGGGATTTATTCCTGGGTTGCAAGGATGGTTCAGTATTCACAAATCAATGTGATATACCACATTAATAAAAGAAAGATAAGAACTAAATGATCTTTTCAATAGTTGCAGTAAAAGCATCTGACAAAGTACAATATCCATTCATGATAAAAATCTTCAACACAGTAAGTTTAGAGGGAATATTACCTTAATAAAGGGCCATATGTGAAAACTCCCATAGCCAATATTGTCTTCAATGGGAAAAAACTGAGAGCTTTCCCTATATAGTCAGGAATAAGAAAGGGATGTCTATTCTCATCACTGTTATTTAACATAATACTGGAAGTTGTAGTCTCAGCAATCACACAACAAGAACAAATAAAAGCATCCAAATCAGCAAGGAAGGAGTCAAACTTTTACTATTTTCAGATGGCATGATACATTATATAGCAAATCCAAAAGACTCTACCAAAAAACTGCTAGAACTCATAAACTAATTCAGTAAA